GTTGCTGGAGTTATGGCTTCATGAGGCTACCAGGCAGTTCCGCGACAGGTGCGCAGCTACTGTGGTCGTTCATAAGGGCTATCACTTGATCAGACTGATTGATGATATTGACCGAGAGTGGTTTGATGAACTCTTCAATAGAAAGCTCTTGCAATACTGCGGTGTGTCTTGGGCGATTCCTCGATGGCGGGAAGTCATGTTTGGCGACTATATGGATCGTGCTACTAAGGCTTATACGGAGTGCCATGATTCGGAGAAGCTTTCAAGAGTGTTCCAGGTGCGCTCTAGAACTGTAACTATCCCGATGTACACATTCGTCTCAGGAGTACTTGGATGAATATAATATGACTTATCCGTCGACGATGAGTCTTATATTCTTCAGTGATGCCAGGGCCCATCTATCGCGTGTCGCGCGAGTCATTAGGCAGCCCAGGGGTAGAGGGGCAGCCAGGGAGGCCAGATGACGGTGTTGATTCAGGAAATGTTCTACTGGTCGGGGTCTCGGGAGTCGGTCGAAAGAGCGTCACGAGAATGGCAGCTTTCATGGCCGAATATTCACTCAAGAGCATCGAAATCACCAGGAGCTACGATACGGCGGCATTCAGAGAAGATTTGAAGTCAATGATGTTCAGCGTGAGTTACCCGCCCATCTCCATCAGTACTGTCCTGCCCGGGGAGTCTCTGTAGTGTAGACTACGCTCGTGCTTCACAGACTTACCAGGTGGCGAAAACGTCAAGCAAAGGGCTGGTCTTCCTATTCTCGGACACTCAGATCGTGAAGGAAAGCTTCTTGGAGTGTATCAATAATATTCTCAATACAGGAGAGGTGCCTAATCTGTTCGCCCCCGATGAATTGGAACAGGTGAAGAGCGTGGGTCGTTATGGCTGCCATGATTTGCCTGTTCACCAAGCAGGTCATCGGTCTTGTCCGTCCGATAGCCAAAGCCGCCGGGAAGCAGGATTCCCGAGACGTTATATGGAGCCACTTCGTGCACTTGGTCAGAGAGAGCCTCCATATTGTGCTCGCATTCTCGCCTGTTGGAGAAGCGTTCCGTGCGAGGTGACGAGTTTACCAGGGGCGTTTGTGCGTAATTGGAGTTGCTCAGATGCCGACAATTCCCTTCATTGATAAACTGCTGCACGATCGACTGGTTTATGCCTTGGCCCAAGGATGCATTATACAGTGTTGCTGAAAGGTGAGCGTTTGCTGTGATTCGTATGTGTTCAACGGTCGACGACTTTCAGGAACTACAAAGATGCTGATAAATCCCTCGGGATTGATAACTACGTTGCGTCTCTCGCTACAATGTCTGGTGTCATTCACTCATCGGTAAGCGGTATTGATCTCACAGTCGAAACGCTGCATGTCAGGTCACTGCGATGGCAGAAAGCTTCTTCACAACGCTGAGACGAAGGACCTATATAACTCCCACAAGCTACCTCGAGCTCATTAAGTTGTTCCTTAGCCTATTAGAGGAGCTGCAAGGTTAGTTGTGAACATGTATAGTAGTGTATGTAGAAAGCTACAGGTATCCTCACTGCTCGATTGAAACGGTACACTGTGGGTGTGGACAAGCTGAATGAAACCAATGCTATCGTCGACAAACTCAAGCATGATTTGACTGAGATGCAGCCGGTGCTGAAGAAGGCTAGTGAGGACACAGCCATGCTCATGGAACAGGTGAGAAGTGATACCGTCAGCGAGGAATGTATCGCTTTGTGTTGAACTGATGGATACCTCCATGATTCAGGTTACGCGAGATGAGGCAGATGCACAGGAGAAAAAGCTGGCCTGTGCGGAAGATGAGAAGGTGAAAATCCACACATGGAGGATCGTCGTATTCCATTGAGTCTTAGGCGGCAGCGGCGGCTGCAGCTGAAGCGAACGCTATTAAAACCGATTGCCAAGCTGATTTGGATGAGGCAATGCCAGCCTACCACAGTGCCATGAAAAGCCTTGAGTCCCTAGACAAGAAGGATATTCAAGAGGTTTTCTAGAGATCGCCAAAATGGATCTCGTAGACCGTTTTTCTCAGGCTAAGTCGTTCACGAAACCTCCAGCGCTCGTTGAGGTGGTATTGAAGGCCGTGTGTTTGCTGCTGGGTAAGAATCTAATGCCGAGAATGAAGATTATCATCGTCTTCTAGGGAAGAAGGAGACTTGGGATGACGCCAAGAAAGTCATGGGAGACATGGGGTTCCTGCAGTCACTGAAAAACTATGATAAAGACAGCTTAGCCAGCAATCAGAGACTCACAGCCAAACTACAGGTGAGAGCGCGCTATTCGCTTTTACCTCCTCTACTGTGTCGAGCGATAGAGCTAGTATTCGTGTTTGCGCAGACCTACATCAAGCGTGACGACTTCAATGCCGAAAGTGTCTCACGAGTGTCCAAGGCGGCGACCTCGCTATGTATGTGGGTCATAGCAATGGATGTTTACGGCAGAGTGGCGAGAGGAATCGAACCTAAGAAAGTGAGAGGGAGTCGTTGTCGGTGAGCAAGTACTCGAGTAGGCGAAACTCGCGGAAGCTGAGAAAATGCTGGCCGATGCCGAACAGCAACTAGCTAGCAAGAAGGCGGTATTGAAAGAAGTGGAGGATCGGGTTGAAGGACTCCGAGCGAAACTCAGTCAGGCTAAAGTGAACCTACGAGGAATACATAAGCCCTTTGTATGGCCTGATTGTGTTAGAAAAAAGCACAGCAGCTTGAGAAGGATATGGAAATTGCTACTATCAAGCTCGGGAGGGCAGAGAAACTCTTGGCTGGCCTTGGCAATGAGTGAGTCCCAGTCTCGTTGCGATACCTGCTTGATTCATTTGTAGAGCGGTACGGTGGAAGGCGGCATCCGAACAGTTGGAACAGAACCTGAAGGATATTGTTGGTAACGTGGTCCTTGGAGGAGGCTTCGTGGCGTAGGAAAAGTGCTAATTCAGCGGGGTAAGGAGAGGAGTGCAGATACTTGGGACCTTTTACGGCTGATTACCGTGAGAAGCTAACAGAGCAGTGGATTCAGGAGTGTTTAGGAGAGGAGGTCCATCTGGCTGTGGATCCTAGATGGGGCTGCGACGCTGTTCTTGGTGACCCTGCCAAGGTCGGTTGGTGTAGATTGTTAGTCATTGAAGGCTTCATCGGCTGATCAGATTCGCGAGTGGAACATCCAAGGCTTGCCCAATGATAAGCTGTCTGTTGAAAACGGCATCATAGTGTCAAGAGGAAGACGGTTAGAAGTATTTGGCTCGCAGGAAAGAAAATACTGGGTTGCAGATGGCCATTGATGATCGATCCACAGGGCCAGGCTAACAAGTGGATCTGTAACTTAGGAAAGGAGAAGGACATACAAGGTTTGGGCAGTCATCAGCTGGTCTCACCCATGTTCAAAGTGCAGTCATCAAGCTCACTGATGCTACTTATCTCCGGACACTCGAGAATGGCATCCGCAATGGAAACGCTATTTTGCTGGAAAATGTGGAAGAAGTCTTAGACCCAGCATTGGAACCAGTTCTGTCGAAGCACGTGAGCATTGCTAGGAAATTTCTCTCGAGATTCTAGTTGATGGTTATCGAGGTATTCAAAAAGGGCGGACAGAGCCTGATTCGTCTGGGGACAGAGGACGTCCCATACTCAAACGATTTTGCCTTCTACATGACCACCAAGATGCCCAATCCTCACTATCTCCCAGAGATCTGCATCAAGGTAGGCCAATTCCTTTGGCATAAACCGACCGGGCCAGTCTTAGGTCACTGTCATCAACTTCACGGTGACCCCCTCGGGGTTGGAATCACAATTGGTTTCAGCAGTTGTCGCACATGAACGTCCTGATTTAGAGCAGAAGAGGTGCTGGCCTCCACAGGGAGTAGAGAATAGGCTAATCATCATGACCCTTTCAGGGGGGAGCTGGTGGTGCAGATAGCAGCAGATAAGAATGAGCTAAATAACATCGAACAGCTTATTCTTAAGCTGCTAGCGGAGAATGAGGTCATTTCGAGTCTGAGGTTGCGCGGATGCGATGATAGGCGTGTAGGGCGATATACTTGCTGATGATACCCTCATTCAAACGCTGGATCAATCGAAGGAAACTACAGATGCTGTTAATGAGCGGATGAGGAATGCCGAGAAGACGATGGTTTCGATAGAGGAAGCTAGGGTTAATTACGCCCCTGTGGGAACCCGTGGCAGTATCTTGTGAGGATCTCGTCGGACACTTTTGCATAGTGGTGAAAACTGGCTATAGGTACTTCGTCATAGCTGATATGTCGAGCATTGATCCCATGTATCAGTACTCACTAGAATTCTTCGTCAATCTTTTTAAAGGAAGGCTGGCGAAGTCTGAGAAGTCGGACGACGTTGAAAATAGAGTGTCTACCATAGTCGGAGACGTCACTCTAGCAACGTAGCACCGCGGGCTCGTCTACTATGTGTGATGTGTTGCGAATTGCAGCTATACGAATATTTGCCGGGGTCTCTTTGAGGATCACAAACTACTGTATGCTTCACTTAATACGATACAAGTCCTCCGCAGCATGAAGCAGGTGATGTATTGGCTAACCTTACCTAGGGTTATAATTGACTAAGCGGCGATTCAGATACCCTCGCATACATGGCAGTTCTTCCAGATTGGAGTTGAAGCCATCAACGGTTTGGTGGACTTGGAACCTGTAACGAGTTGTTAAGGGAGCAGCTCTTCTGATCGGAATATTTCTCTTCTTGCTGGCAGATCCTTGAGAGCCATCCGTGTCCACAATGGTGCGACACAGTAGCATGGAATAAGATTGTGGTCTTGGTTACACTGGCGGGCTTGTCGGGCGTCAAGGATGTCGATGGACTACTTGATGATATGATGCAGAATTCGGCTGACTGGGAGAAAGTACCTCCACGGTCATTACACTTGTGGTAGCTGTGCGTCTTGCAGTTCAGCAGTTCTGACCACATGTACGAGGCTCCTCTACCTGGGGTCTGGGATGAGAAGGTCACTAGCTTCCATCGGTTGTGCCTTGTGAAAGTGACGAGGCGCTTTTGGTTGAAGAAGAGATGTCACTGCCTCAGTCTCTCCGTGAGAATTTGCTGGTGCCGGCCGTACGTGAATTCGTAGCGAAGAACCTCGGGAAGGAGTTTGTCGTGTCACCGGCTCTCGACCTTCGCAGCTGCTTCGACGACTCAGATTGTGGCACGCCGATAATATTCGTGCTCAGCCCAGGAGCTGATCCAACAGAGTAACAGTGGATGGATATCAACTCTTTGCCATCATTGGCCTCAGTAATGTCATCAAGCTAGCCTCATCTTTGGGCTATGCCGATCGGTTGCATATGCTGTCTCTTGGACAAGGCCAAGGTCCGAAGGCCGAAGCGCTCATCGATCGGGCCAGGGATAACGGTAGTCAAATGCATACTGATACTTGTCATGAGCTGTCGTTTGGCCTTCTTCTTAGGGGATTGGGTTATGCTACAAAATTGCCATCTTGCAGCCTCGTGGATGACGTCGCTCGAAAGGATACAAGTAACCGGTCCTTCTTCATCGCTTCAACTGTCACGTCCCTGTTTTTCTAGGCTGAGCTCAATCCTGCCAGGATCAGCAAATCATATCGACTATGGTTGACATCCATGCCGAGCAAGGCTTTCCCTGTCCCTGTGCTGCAAGCTGGCATCAAGATCACCAATGAGCCTCCCAAGGGCCTCCGTGCTAACTTAACGAGAAGCTTTCTGGCTATCTCTGAGGAGCTTTTCGAGGGGAATAGCAAGCCCAGAGCCTTCAAGAAATTATTATTCGCTCTGGCGTTCTTTCATGCGGTCATCTTGGAGCGTCGGAAGTTCGGACCGATCGGCTGGAATATTCCCTACGAATGGATGGACTCGGATTTCCAGGTGAGAGAAGAATCGTGAGCATCAGTGTGAAGATGTTGAATAGGTGTCAACCGAGCAATTGGATATGTATCTCAACGACCAGCCAGGTGTACCACTGCGAACACTGAGCTATCTTGTGGCTGAAGTGAACTACGGTAAGGCTGGCTACTGGCAATGAGACCGCTGAATATGGTTGTCTAGGTGGGAGAGTCACCGACGACAAAGACGTTCGCCTCATCACCGCTATTCTGGCTAGCTTCTTCCGCAATGAAACCGTGGAAGAGAGCAAGTGAGTCCTTCGGATATTTTCTGAGAGTACTTGATTTCTCGATCACTCCAGTTACCGCTTCTCGGCTGCTGATATGTACTACGCTCCAGATGCTACGGGTTTGAGTGACGTGAGGAATTACATCTCTGCATTACCTCAGGATGAGGATCCAATAGTAGTCTCGGTAGAGAATTGTACTCGAGTCGAATTCGTCGTTCTCATCGAGGTCTTCGGCCTGCACTCCAATGCGCTGATAACAGCTCAAATCAACCAAGCCAAGAAATTGCTGGAGGCGATAGTATCAGTACAGCCCCAGTTGAGTGGTGGCGATGGAGGACTCGCGCCAGAGGAGATCGTCTCCAATATGGTGATATAGAATGAGAAGGATCTCAGTTTTACGATCTCGAGCAGGTGAATGAATTCACCAGCCGCATGCCAAATGCCATATCAACGACTGACGGTCACAGACTCAGCTTTGCTAAGGAGCCGTCTGGAGGGATCATCTCTTTGGGTGTTTTTTTAGCTCAAGAGATTCACAGGTCGCTCTCTTATACAGCCCTGATCACTGTAGACCATGAATTGTTAGGTTTAACCTCTTGGTGAGCGTCGTTAAGACAAGTTTGGCCGCTCTTGCTAAAGCCATCAAAGGTTTTATTGTGATGTCATCCGACTTGGAAGAAATGTAACCTCGTTGTAGAATCTATAGCTGGATCGACGCTTTTCTCTACCCACTAGGTTTAACAGCTTTCTCATACAGAAGGCTCCAGCAAAGTGGTCTGCAGCAGCGTATCCTTGTCTGATGCCTCTAAACTCCTGGGTCAGCGACTTCATTAGAAGAGTGGAATTCATGCATAGCTGGGCACATTATGGTCCTCCGGCTAGCTTCTGGTTACCTGCCTTCTTTTTCCCTCAAGGCTTCATGACAGCAGGCATGCAGGTGAGCTCAGGTCGACCTGCCAGTCCTCATGATGGAAGTCTCTTCGACGCTTTGGACCTCCTCCCTGATGCGACTATGTATCAGATGCATGCTAGAGCTCACAGAATTCCAATTGATTCTCTAACGTTTGAGACCAACGTTCAGACTTATTCTAGCCCGGATGAGTTGCCCGGGCCGCCTGAGACCGGGGTTAATATCCATGGAGTATTCCTCCAGGTGATGCCAAGTTGGAGCATTTCCTGACGTCAGAATAACTTCTCAGGGCGCTGGATGGGACCTCGAAGGTGCTTGCCTTCAAGAATCCGCTCCAGCCGTTCTCTTCATCCCTCTACCAGTCATCTCCTTACGCCCTGTTCTATCGGCTGACCTCAAGGAGAATCGCTCGAATTACTTTTGCCCGTTATACAAGACGTCTATTCGAGCCGGAACGCTTTCAACCACTGGTCACTCCACCAATTTCATCATGTAGGGTGCAGGCCGATTGGCCCTTTGAGTGGGGTACGAGCTCGCCTCCATAGGTACCTGAACATCAATGGAGGCACTGAACCAGCAGAACATTGGATACGTAGGGGAGTCGCCAGTCTATGCATGCTTGATGATTGATGTTCATACGACAACATGTCAAGACTACGCGTGTTGTGTTTATCAACGGAAATGAAGGATGACGGGACCTCGTCAGGGACAGTCCGTATGTAGCTGCTACATTGTAGTGGTACATGCGGTGAATGTACCGATGATATGACTACGATAACTGAGACAACGACCACACCGGCAGAAACGATGATCGAAAGTGATGGTGAGGCGGGCATAATATCAAGAGCCGCCAATCGATGGTAGTGTCTTGAATTCGAGTTGTCTATTCGATTGATATCGCTATGATCCTGTTAGCGTTCTGGCTCATGTAAAAGTCAACCAGAACGGTGATGACTCACACGTCCCTGAGGGACGGTCCCTCACGGCAGCTTGCTTCCTGCACTGTCAGTGCTGTGTGGAGGAGTGTTATGGCGGATCGCCACACACGCACGTTAAGGAGTAATGAGAAATGATCGCTGGCCGTCGCGGTCCCTAGTCCTGCTCGCCTGCACATCGTTACGGTACATTCAAATGTCATACTCCTGTTGATCAAAAGTCAACAGATATGGCTTACCGCACTGCCAGCGTTCCGTTCGTCAATTCCTCCAAACAGTCTGAACCCCAGACTCTATAGAGTCATTATTCAGTACTAGTCGCGGTGGATGCTACCATTCTAATGACTGATAACCGTCCGGATATCGCCAGAACTAGGTGATTACCACTGTGTGAGAAGGCGTTAAGGAGCTGCACACGTTCCGAGTTGTACAACGTGTATCAACTTTTTGCCGGGATTTGGCGCCTCTGAGACTCTGAGCATTATACGCTCACCCTCCTGCCTGCATCGAATAATCATGAGCAGCTACCCCATCATACAGGGGTCTCCAACTCCCATGTTGATCTGTCTTCACAGGTATCGGCAGTTTTTTTTCGATGGTAGATCATACTATACTGGGGTGCCTGTACGACTCTGAGGTGAACGTGACGTGCTGAGATGTGCTCATAGTAACGAGGTGGCTCTTGTTTCTCGGATGTTCTGAAGCTAGTCTGAGGTAGCGATACTTGTGTGTGGCGCATGGCCTCAACTGAGGTTGTCAAACTATTATGAGCTGACGTGTTATTCTACGGTATTTACGTATAGCTAAACGGGCATTTCACACGATCAGCGCTACAGCGAGTTACTGTCAGTAAGAGAGGTACTCGGTGACTCCTCATCGTAAACGCATTTGTCGAACACTGTTTGAAATAATTGATGCTTGCATGCCAGGCTCACGAAGTGAGAGTCACGTTTCTTTCATCCAAAGGGCTCGAGCGACTGAGACGGGTTATGTCATACCAACACAATCTTACACGACTTATCATTTGGATAGATTAGATTCAGATAGACAAAACGATGCATAAGGGAACATGATACAATAGCTCGCCGAAATACTTCTCAATACGGAACACTAGGTAAATTCAATCAAGTCTTCTCATAACTCACTCGATGATGAACTTATTATGTGATGTTCAATCATGTGCTGAGGGCGAGACCCGTAGGTCAGATGTACAAGGTGGTGCCAAAGAAGGGCTCTCATAGCTCAGTGCACAATCCGAATATCAGAGCCGTTCGTACAGCGTTGGAAAGAGCTAGATCAGAGTTTTTGAATGATACCTATTTCCCGTCAACTGTCGAGTACCGCGAAATTACAAGGGCTCCTTGTCAAGGGATGGGCTCTTCTTTTGCACCACCCTGTGTTACTGTATGAGCCATATTTTTTGGATACGGTCGCACATGAGTATTGATAGTATAATATGGTTGGACATGAGTATTGATAGTATAATATGGTCGGACATGAGCGTTAATAGTATAAGATGGTTGCACATGAATATTGAGAGTATAATATGGTCTGACATGAGTATTGATAGTATAATATGGTCTGACATGAGTATTGATAGTGTAATATGGTCGCTCATGAGTATTGATGGTGTAATATGGTCGGACATGAGTACTGATGGTGTAATATGGTCGCATACGAGTGTCGATAGTATAATATGGTCGGACGTGAGTATTGTATGAGATGGAAGTGTCTACAGTACAGTCCCGACGTGGAAAGTGGGAACGTTTGGGACCATTCGGTATTTTGCTCGTGGACACTTCTTGGATCTCGATCAACAAAATGCACTGTTATGAGTCATAACATATGACCCATAACTTAAGACGCGTGGACTCGACCACGATCCTCTTTATAGCGGATGAGCCCAATTGCTGTGCCCGGCACACTCTAAGCGGCACAGTGCGCCGCTCAGAGTGAAACTGTGCAGTGGCCGGTGCCAGTAGTGCGCATACACGCATACACAACAACTGTTCGCAACAGCTGAGACGACATAGAACTCAACAAGGCAGCAATTGAATGAGCGACGTCAATGGCTCATGCTACGGCGCCTCGTCCGTCATGGAACTTAATACACTAGCGTAGTGACGAATGCCGTCCGCCCATTGTCTGAGGTAGTTACGCTTCAGTATGCACTCAAGAGGTACACTCACCGTTCGAGCTCGTGGTTCAGAGAAGCTTGTACAGCCGTGAGTTCCCCCTCAGTGCTATCAATCTCATCGAGAAGTTGCTGACGAGTGGTACTGAGACGGTAGAGTACGGTCGGTCAGGAAGGCTATGGCGGCTCACGAGAGGCTTCGAGCTGCGATGTCCAGCTGCTGATCGAACTCGACGATACTTCCTTTCATCTGGTCTTGTACCGGTCTAAAGTTTGCTTCTTGTCTGAATGCGAGGCCCCTCGAGCGCCATGCCGTGATGTGAACTTACTTCCTGCTCTCCCGTTCGACTTCCTCCACTGCTTCATCGAAGAGAGAATTATCCAGTCCTGCTAAATTTTGGTATTAAATTTTCAAATACCACTCGGAACAACAAGACTGCTCACCAGTGTTGTCTAGGGCGGCACTAAGATTAGCGTGTATGAATCTGTTGAGCTCTTCTATAGTAGCAGTAGTCTGAACACATCAGATAGAGATGACATCAACTCACAGGCTCGTGCCTACCTCCTCGTTGAGGCTTCCGCTGATTGGGAAATCAAAAGCAAAGAGAGTGTCCCGGATGCCGTCAATAAGATGATTCATGTCTCTTCTGTTGCGTCGCGCACTCTCAAGCATCTGGGTCCATGTCGAACTGAAGATACAGAACGCGATGAAGATATAGAACCAGCAACTCGTGTTGGTGACATCATAGGAAAAATTGAAGAAATTACGCGAAACTATCGTTGGTTTTCTGCACACTTTTACCCTAAATCGTGTGTGAATTTTCATAATACAGTAAGGGAACTGCTGAGCCCAGCTGAGGGAAGTAAACAAATTCTAACGCTGATGCGCCCGAGCGTACTTCAAAGTTAACATCGCTTCTTCCACTTCTCTATTTACTCCCGCATTCAAGGACGAGGCCTGTTCATTGGACGTCGAGATCGCCGCCGCAGCACTCCTAAGACAAGAGAAGATACTTCCTATGACCTTGAGGCAAGCCTTCACTTCAATAGGCCTCCGAGCTCCGAAACATGAGCCGTCAATCTTGTCATTAACTTCTCGATTTCACCATCAATCTTCGCCGCGCTACTCGCGGTTTCTTTTCCCATAGTCTACGCATAAACATCCCCTTTATCATCAGAAACTCTGAATGCTCACCTCTGCCGAAACGTCGGTTTTTCCCTCTTCCGAGGCATTTATCGACCTGCGACCAAATCATCATCGTCAACAGTTGAGCAGTGGGCGTTTCACTCGACAGTATCCTTCCTTCCTTTGAGCTGGGCAGATAGTCGTTCGGCCTCCAGACTCCCTTCAACAGCGAGCTTCTCCACTCTGTGTCGCTGATCCGCCAGCGCTCTTTCATTCCACTTCTTGGTATTGCTGAGAGTATTTGAAATGACAGTCAGTAACATCTGTTCTGTCCAACGCTCACTTGTAACCGAGCTGGACTTCCTCCAGAGCCTTCCGCAGTCGACCGTAGCTGTCGTTCCGTTCCTAGGCAGCGAGAGCTACATCAGGTAGCGTCCGTCTCCTTTCTTTTGCTCACCTCCTGTGACTGCTTTAAACTGGCGACCACAGAGTCTTCTGAATGATGCAACTCAGCCGATGTATTCTTGGGGGCAGCAACCTAACGGCCCACATCGAGTCGCAATGCTGTAGCCACTTCCGCTAACCTTTTCAGAAAGTCTCGAATGATCATCCTCAGAGGCCTTTTCCACGATGCCACTGACATGCCTCACCATCGTCTAATAAGATGCATGCCGAGCCCATCAGCTGAGAGGAGGTGCTCACCATCATCGCAGCTTTGAGAAGATCAGCCAGCCTCTTCAATGCTCTATGCTGCTCATCAACCCTGCCGTTGGTTTCCGCAATATCCTTCTCGAGCCGGTTTTGGCTTTCTGTCATCCCTTCGAAGGCATCCCTATGCTGAGACCTGATCCCATGACCACCACTGCACAGATCGAGCCCTGTCAGTGCCAAACTCCCCACCTAATAAGCTCATCATCAGCCTTGAATCGCACCGAGTCGTTAAGAGCCTTGAGGTCAGTTCGAGCTTGCGCTACTGTACGTTTCACAGAGCTGTCCATTGATACCAGCCTGAAGTGAATCGCGTCCCTTAGAGTGCGCCCAAGGATACTCACATTTTATGGGAAGCAGCAACAGAGCCCTCAATGCCTTTCCGACGCTCCTCCTCCGAATTATTCTCATCAGTTATCTCGCCAACCTGAAACGTCATGGAACATCTCTAGATACACGCAGGAACCAAGTATGTCTCGGACTACCAAGTTCACGCCAGGATGACAACCTACCCTATTTTCAGCCTCGGTTATGAGAGTGCCCAAAGACCGTGACACCTCTGCCACCGCGTCGGATACTTGAGCTGCTGCGCTCCTTCTCGTTGACTCGGTGAGCCTCCTCCGGCTCGCTCGAAGTCCAAATATCATCTGAGCATCATATCACAAGGCCAAGAAGCCGGCAGTCTTGGACTAATCTCACCGCTCTCTCATTAACGTCTCTTCGACTCAGCAGATTGCGGAGGTGTGATTTCAACTCAGTTGCGTGCTTGAACCCTTCAACCTTTGTCCGATCGGTATCCTCAAGAATCTGAACGCGTACCTTCGATACAGTTCAACACTCCACTATACATCACCTGAGAGACTTCCTTATCCAAAACCAACCCTTCCGTTCTCTGCTCATGCATCTCGTTCATGAGGCCTCCCGTAGATGCCTTCAGCTCATCGATGCTACTCTTGGCATCGCCCTGATATCGAGAGATCAACCCATCAGACTGGCTCGATCGTCACCTTTATTTTTCGCTCCCCATCCCCACTCTGTCGTTGGAGGTCTTCATCCACTTCCCTACGAGCATCCACTCTTGCCTTATCTTGTGATGAACCCAAGGCAAGCATATTAGGTCCGATGGCACTAAGTAAAGTAAGTCAATAACGCCAACGAACAGCTCTGCCCACCTTTCGATTCGTCGAACAATTCTGCGGCTACCAGCGACTCGATCATCGAGACCATGCCGCGCATTCATGTGCGCCTCGTCCAAATGACTCAAGAAAGCCTTATCCTCAGCAAATCTATTCGACCCGCCGCTGATCGCAGCCTCAAGCCTGCTCATATCTGAGACCCGAAAATTCAGTCAGGTCAATGGTGAGAATAAGGAGACCCACTTTTAGCTCGCTCCACCCTTTCCCTGGCTTGTCGATTGCGTACAAAATCGACACCTTTCTTCACAGCTCCTGTTATTTCGTCATTCACCCGGGCCTCATCCTGCTTCAGTTCGATCTCTATCTTTTCTTTCGAGTCTGAAAAAGAATCCTCAACGAGACCACAGCACTGCCAGGGCCGTTACCATCGATCAAAGGCATCGTGGAAACACTTCCCTTAATCCGATTCGTAGCAGCACCCACCCGAGCCCCCATAGATGCAATACTTTGTCTGAGGGAAATCAGAATAAACATTCTCACAGGGCGAGTTTATTCCGCAGTTACTCTGCAGCGTTAGCTTTCCGCCCAACCTCGTCCAACAAGTCCTTCTTACCACCATCCTGCAGCGAGCTCGCCGCCTTCGCCATCTGATCAACAAACACGGCACTTCCACAGTCTCATCAATGGTGGTACTCACCTGCTTGCCGCGCTCTAATTTTTGACCATCTAGCTCCTCAGCTGACCGCATCGCTTTCTGAGCATCTTCTCTCTGAAAAAAGGCAGTCTGCTGAGGTACTCTCCAAACTTGTAACAACCCACAATATGCGCAGTCTCGACATCAGCATCCTTTTGAACACCTCCAGTGGTCGCCTGGAATCTCTTCGTCTCCCTCATCACCTATTTCGCATACACAAAATATCCCCAAGATACGACAGCTATAATGACAGGCTCACATCATTGACCTCCTTTCCCAACCCGTCCGTAAGTACTCGATCAGCTGCTTGTGCTGCGCGATTCAGCTCGGTTTGTGCGCTTTTCAAGCCGTTCAACTGACTCTTCACTGCGACCTCCACAGCAGTGCTGAAATACCAACATAACCATTGCAATATATGATTGTTTTCCAGCTACGCCGAGGACTCCACTCATTACACTATGATCATTTACGCAGGACTTTGAACTGCACTAAATAATAAAGAACTTCTCAAAATTTGCTCGATACGCATAGTCGACCCTGTAACACACATGATGTATTGATAGAGGTAATTTGATCGAGCAGTGATGAGGGATACGCACATAATATGCGTATGCCCCTTCAGCGATCAACCAAGACCACATTGACAACAGCAGCCCTCAGTGTCTCACGCAGTAGCGCTCCTTCCAACCAGCATTTCCTTCTCCTTCGCCGCAAGCTTAGATATCTCCCTCATATTCTCAGACGACACATGGCCAAGATCAGATGCCAAGCCATTAACGTCGCGAGCGAGACTCTGGAGAAAATAATACACAGAAAAATATCTTCTAATTGAGACCCTCCTCGTCAGAGCACATCATCCGAACAAGCATTTGGGATTCTTAATAATTTTCCCGATAGTCTCGATGAAAGTCTCACCTGTCGTCCATCTCGGACCAGCAGTTGGCCCATTTTGGCAGCCCTCTTAAGAGATCCTTTGAACTTGAACTTTTTCACCCGCCCAAAAAATGCTTTGTCCAACATTTTCCCCTTCCTTGCAAACTTCCGAGCTCTGTTCCGCAACGTGTTCATCTCCTATGTCATACCACACCATTTGCAACTCCCAGCCCTCAAACACCCTACCTTAGTCGAACCCCGCCTCCGAAGGCTCGCTAGCGTTGCTGCTACTTTATCGTACTGCTTTGCAGTGCGGTCAAACAACGCCCTATTAGGGAGCTCTTTGAAACCTCGGTCATAAAGAAAGTCTCACAATCGATCCTGTCTCTGCCTCTCCTCGCCTTCTCTCTGAATATGACTGAGTGCTCTCCGCAGGCCTTGCATGCGTGATAATGACGCCTGAGTCTGCTTTGACGCCTAAGCAATGTCGTAATGGATCCAAGTTGTTCCATGAGGCAATCTCATTGGAAGTCCCCTTACCCGATCGCCCAATTTGCGAGATGATTTCATGACCCGGGCCACACGTAAAGGAAGTTGTCGCTGAATCCTAGTCACTTTATTCGTCGCTTCAGCGATGATCTGAACGGCTCAACAAGGTCGATACAAATACACCTGCCAACTTGCCTTTGCGGCATTAGATGCGAGCCTCTCGTCAGCCTGAAGCATGTGATCCGTGGTCCGCTGAATAGCCCCAGTATTCTTATCACGAGCCTGAATACAATTAATGACGGAGAACCCCAACCAGGCTTGGCAGACTCACTCCTTTTGATTGCTCAGAAAACCATTCCCTGAGTCGTTTCACTTCACTGCCCATATCCCTAAAACACCGAACAACTCATCTTAGCTTCGTCTCAGCCAAACACTCACTCCTCAGTGTCAGTCATAACTCTGGCTGCTCCAGTGAGGCTTTTACCCTGAGAAATTTCAACTCAATAATATAAACCTATAATGCGGTATGAGCTCACTGTCGATCTTCGCAGGAGGTTGATGCCTTTAGTGAGACTGGCAACCATTTCCTTCCTGAAAAATCGCTATCTCTCAGTGGAGCGGGTGTCACCACCAGTGACTTACCCACCGTCACCATTTAAAGTGAGGTTGTGTTGCGCATTGCTCTTATCGATAGAGTCAACACTGATCAAGCAAGAGAGCTCCAAGAGCTCGTCGGACTAGCGTACTAACCTCGTCGAGGCTTCCTGTGACTTGTTCAAGAGATACAGTATTTGGTTGTACATCGTGTTGATCTTGGTATTCCTATACGGCAAGCAGGAGGCCACCCCCTCGCTGCAATTACTAGGCCTGCACCCAAAAGCATCAATCATACACGACTGAGCTCCCTCGAGCTCACATGAGGAAGCGTAAGAGTTCAGGTATTCTATCGGGGATCTCTGCCAGAGGGATGAGATTCAAACGAATTCGTCTGAATGCCGATCCATGAGGTTCGACTATTAAGGCTGGCCATTCTCACCCGGTTGAGTTCGATACAACAATGGGTGAGTTGATAGCTTGCTGAGCCTCCGTTTCAGAGGTAAATAGCACTACTAAACCCCATAACAGGGGGGCTAAGGACATGCAAAGTTATAATGGCTAGGTAAGAGGCAACGATAGTATCAATCCATCAGACATACAAGAACAGGTTCATACGAAGTCTTCGTATGTTTCTTCGTAACGAAGAGTCGTAAATCACAATCACAACAACGAACGCACCGCAATGCAATACGCAAACAGTAACGCTCCTTCGTAGTTCCTTGCATTCCAATGAGAAGGCCGTGTGAACTCTCGTCACTACCCAGCTCAAACAACACTCTTGCACCCGAATTGACAAAGCCAAACACCGACTGTCATAGACACATCTCCACGAACGATCATTAATATCCATGTTTCACTCTGGTGAAATGTTTGCCTCTAGGGAGTCTCATCGTCATCATCATCACCACTACTGTTGAGCTCACTAGCGAGACCGACAAAGATCGAATCATAGTGGTGCTCTCTGGCATGAAGCCATCTACCACACAAGGCACTACACACACTAGAGCGGAGCGATGCAACTTACTGGTCGAAAGACTCTCTACCGCTCTTTCTAGTATCTTCCACCCTCCTCGTTGAATCCATCATCTGACGATGTAGCTCGCTTTCAGTAGACCTAATACACACCAACTTGACACCATCTTCTCGCGCTAACAATCTCACTGATGCATGGTCGCATCCTGTTGAACGTCCTTGAGGCCCTCGGACAAATCGTGGCGCATAGCATTGTGCATCACCTCCGAGGTTTGCAGGTCACTAACAAGCCTCTACTGCCACATACAAGCCCAACCCCTTCCACTTACGTTTCAACTTCCCTTGAGACCTCACTTGCCCTTTCCATCACTTCATGTGAAGTGTCAGTCGCATTGCCTATGTGCACAACGCTCCACCTCAATAAACACTGTGATGAGCTTACTAGCCATAGGCTCTCCCGCTGGCTCCAGAGCCGCCATACTGGTCCGCATAGTGTCCACCATCTCCTTCACCTAACAATTGATGAGCTCCTGCATGCACCTCAACAACGATATTCACCTCGCCCATGTATTGGTTCATAAGGGTCATAAAAGCAACAACAACAGTCTCCACGTCCGCAGCTCTCTCCAATGCGACTCCTTTCGAGTCCGCGATTGACTTCAACAATCCATCATCGTTCGAACTAATCACCACAACAATGCCCAACAGCTAACACGAGATGCTTCTCACCTCACTCTATGAGCCAAAGCCTTCAGCTCGTTACCGGTGATCTGCTTTCCAGTCTCGACTATCATTCGATAACGATTCGCAGCAGCAGCATTGTATCTACGCCACCAGAATCAGACGTGATCAGTTCATCGACCAGAACCTACCCAAGGGCTTCTCCAATCCGTGATGCTTGTCTTCCCAAGCCGTCCCCTCCCTCTCCTAACCGCCCAGCTATAGCCGAGTCCCCTCTGGCCACCTCTGTCTGGTGTGCCTGATAACCACAGCGCTTCTAATCATCTACCTTGCCTGTGAGTGTGGCTACCAGAAGATCCTCATCCGAACGGCTCTTGTCCACTTTCAAGTCGCCTCTGAAGCGAGCAAACATGTCAAACCCAAGCCGTCGTCTGAGCACTCACTTGAACACATTAGTGTCATCAACGAGATTATCCTCCACCGTTTCATAATCCTTCGCCTCGTTGTCCACGAAATCGCCCAAGTCACTTTGCGTTTTATCACCAAGCCGCGCGCCGTCCGTACCAACTCCTCTACAAATCAACGCGCTGATCCACTTCACTCCAAACAAACCTCCCTACCTGGCCATATCGATCAGTCGTGTCATCGTCCCCGATGCTCCCGAGGCTCTATCAAAATTATTCTGACAACAGCATAGTTCCACAATAACCGAAATATGAGGTCTTCATCTCAGCCCACCATAGATGCTTGCAAGTGCTTTTCTGTCAGCGCTGAATCCGACGTATTGGCCAACTTTTTCATGCTGGCGTACTGTCGTTTCTGCAAAAGTGGAGGATCACTCAAGACAAACTGAGCCCAACCCACCAAAGCCTCATGTGCCGCTATATGTCGCTCAACTGCCTTCTCAAGATCAAGTCGCATCACTTTCCTCAACGCATCAATCAGCACCTGCCAACACACCATACCTTCACCTCACGACGACAACCACGTTACCCTAAGCATATTAGACGCTCTCCTATAATCATCATAAGCTCCCGTGCGAGTCCTCGAATAAAACTCATCCAGTTTCTGCATCTCTGTTGCCAATCGTTCATACAACTTCTTGATATCAATGCCATGCGTCAACTCCTCACGACTAAATCCACAACTTCACTACACCCATTGAGCCCAAAACCACATCGCTCACCTGACTTGCTCCTCCCGTGCGTGCAGTCCCAACGCCACCGTATGAGTAAGCGACTTGATCATATTCCTCAAGTCCAACAACGCTCGTTGATGAGCAGCTTGCACTCTTTTCAACCTGAAAAGAATCACACGCTATCGAACATAAGATCATCCGCTGTCAACTCACTGATCAGTATTCCCAATGAACTGTGCATTCCGCCTCGCTTCCTTCTGAAGCTGCGTTTCCTCACTTGCCAACAACAGCTCCATCTAAGAAGATGCCCTCAACAACTCCCTCAGGGATATGCAACTCACTTTGTCCTTGATCGTAGACACATCACTTTCCGTCGCATTCATCACGCCAGCCGCATCAGTGCCTATCATCTTCAACAGAAGGTTCCGTACGTCTTCCATTCTCCCGTCCTGGGACTTCAGCATCTCCCCAATAAACTGAATGAGACGACTCAGGTTTTTCCGCACGCGGAAGATTTTCTCTTCTCACATTTTCAGCGCCGTCCTCGTCACTTCTTATCAAATTCAACAGCGTATCCTTCAGCTTCAACTCATCTTGTTGAGATTCGTCTTTTAGTGTTGCAACCATCTCCGTCACCTACAAATCAACTGCACTTTAGCTCAGACAAGATAACTTCCTGCTTCAAAAACCGATGAAAGTTTCGCACAATGCAGATTTGTCACTTTTTCCATCAGAATCACTCCTCAACAAGAAGCCCCTCTACTACACCTACCTTGTGGACATCATCCTTTTCAATGCCGTATTGCGAGCTCGTCCCCGCCTCATCTTTTACCATAACACCTCGAAGGCTCCCGATTTCCTGTGTCATCTCCGACATATAATCCTAAATTTCAGTAGACTTCATCACTAAACATCAAGTCGCAACTTCACTCACATTGATTCCCTTAGACGCATTGTTCTTCTCCTGTATCGCAAGGGCTCCCAATGCTCCAGCAGACTGACTGGCATACCGCGCCGTCTGCGACTGAAGACCACCGAGAAGGTGATTACCGTACCTACACATAACACGTCAACAACGGAGTTGCTAACAACCAGCTGCTACATTCTGTCGGCGGCTATAGCCTTCTTCCCATCAGCCGAGAATGCCTCCATTTTATTCGTCAAACTGCCTTCTTTCGATGCCAGCACTGCGAGCTCTGCTTTAGCTGATACCGCACCAGCGCCAACTCCTGCCAATCCACTGCCGAGCAGACCGAAATCTGAATGAGACGCTCCTCCTCATCAGCCTGTTATGTACAATGACCCACCTTGGCTCAGTCTAGTAGACTCAGACTGGAGTCGATCTACCAAGGCAATGAATCTATCCTTATCCGCTTTACTCAGGTGCTCGAGGTCCGCGTCATCCATCATCAACATGGCTCGGTCCTCTGCCGTAAATTGATCTGCAATAACTATGTCTACTCAAAGCCTATCCGAAGAAGTCTCACCTGCTATCTTTTCTTGTGTCAAAAGCTCCTTCCTCCCACTAGAGGCGATGAAAGATTTTCCGTCCTCTAACTGAGCCGTTCCGGAATGCAAGATGCGATCTATTTTCGACCTGCCAAGTCGTCGTCACGCGTATCAGTTACAGGAAAAATCAGACGAGCCTCGGCGACAAACTTTCTAATACAAGTAATAGGGAAATTTTTGTCACAAAGATGAGTTCGAAATTCTCCTGTGCTGCATCCAAGCTCAACGATTCGTCTATATATAAATAGAAGGCAACTCATGATCAGCAAGAACGGTTCTCATAAAGTTAACAAATCTCCATAACAACAAACAATGAACACTTGTGTATAGCCGCTATACTATACATATATGCACATCTATTCACCTTCATATGTTCGCCCTAGCATATGCGTCTATATAAATTCCTTTCCTCCCTACTCACTTCATCATCGCAGCCTCATTGGTCGCGTCTCCCCCTATATCCTCAGCCGCCTTCGCAACCAGCGTTTCTCCTTTGCCCATCTCACCACTAGCTTGCACATGCTCTTGATCTACTGCTATCTGATGATCAGCCACAATATTGCTCAGTAGCTGAGCCTGATAACAGAAATCTCAAGTCGGATCCTTCCAAGTCCAAAGCTTCACCGATCTGTGTGCGTCAGCGCCTCGCTCTTCCGCCCCATTACTGACGATTGTCTCCAAATGATTAACGTTGGTGAACAACTGGAAATGCACAGAATCGAACCTCGGAAAGAATCTTCTACTCTGCTCACCTGCCGCTGTATATCACTCTCGACTGCCCTCATCGTTTTCTCTTGCGTAGTAGCGTCGGCCTCAATCACCGCGTTCATCTCCGCAACATTCCTCTTACTCGATTCGGCATCATCATGATAGTTGTTTCTGACAGATAACACAGTGTTGGAATGTACGCTCGCCAAGTCCTTAATAATCTTCAAAGTTCAGCAACAAATTCGAACATAAAAATCACAGAAATCAATGACAACTCCCCTGAGTTTCTTCACAATTTCCATATTGGCACCAACACGCGCATATCTTCCCATACCGCTGCTCTCAGCTCAGCGTTACACTACATAAGCGTGTCCATGCTCTTCTCCTGTGACTTCCTCTCCTTCCTCAAGGCATCCATCGAACGAGTTACCGTCGCCGTAGACAACCCCCGAGCCAAATCGTCATGTGCATCATCCAAGCCCTGAAATACATCACTATGCTCTACTCCTTCACTGAGGCCTTCAATTCAGCTATAAAACGATAAGCGATTGGAAAACAAATGCATTTTACCCATCCGGCGAGCTCCTAAAGGCAGCTCCCAATACCTATGCTCTATCACTACTATTACAATACCCAATCCACGACCATGAATTTTGTGCGTTACTAAGCCTCTCATCTTGAAATCTGGTATCATAACGACATCATAATCATAGGGGTCTAGTTATGGCTTCACGGATAACAGATGAATTCGATGCCAACTCTTACTAAACGAGTTACATGCTACACTTGAGCGTATAACTCATCAGTATCAATCTTATACGAGGCTCCATTATCACGGGTATCGAGGCGATACGAAATAGTGGGATAAGCTCCGGGCGGTAGATTTTCACACGAGGGTATATAACATAGCATAGCAATTCAGAATCTATGAGCACTTATATGTCAATATGATATCACTAGTAATAAAATGGTCCCATTCCACACAAACCTCACCATATGATAATCCTTTTCCGCAGAGAGAACCCTCCTTCCCATCCTAGTGAAGTTCCTATCGATTTGATTATCAAACGATCCCCTTGCCATAAGCAGGCTCTTCGACGATGCACTCAATCCTCGCTCCAACTGCTTAGCCTCTCCAGCAGTTGCTCCAAGTATCTACTCCAAAAACCAAACTAGCACTCCACCACCAAATCAACACCCTACTTGCCGCTGCTTCCGAGGCACTTCTTTTCCCAGCATTTCCTGTGCGCGTCCAAATCTACTTGCAGTATCGCTAGTGATTTCGCTGAGTCCAACGACGCATGCCAATAAAGCGCTCTTCCTATCCTTACTGCTGCAACGCAGTGTTCCGCTGTCCATTTTCGTCCAATATATCAGTCGCCTCAGCTTCGTTATTCGCCAATCGTCGATACAAGGCGGCGTCCATATCCTCGTACTATATCACAAAATTACCCCACCCCAAACCTCCGCAAGATCACTAACCTTTTCTTCAGCTTTTTCCATAGCGCGATTGCCCTTGTTCGCCGACTTCAACAAATTTCTCTGCTGAATCGACACGCCTCTTCCCGTTTGCTTTACTCCCTGATCATCATACCACTCCCTCTGGAATTCCCACAGGTCCCCCCTACCTTTTCCGCCTCAAGATCAGTAGTGTACGTGCTCGCCAGCATTCTCCCAGCACTCTGTTCTACGTTGCTCTGGAACTTCGTCGCGGCCTAAGATTCTTTTCCTGCCCGGATGAAAAGATTCAAAACAGGTCACCTCTCTCGCCATTTTGGATTCGCCCCTTTTTTCTTGTTTGAGTGCATCTCGTATGTTACTAAAAAACAACAACAGCCGCTTGCAAGGCGGAACACCCAAGCTGCCCGACTTACTCTTCCAACTGCGACAACTTGTCGAAAGAACCTCCAAACCGCATTTCCTGTAATACGGATCTTCATCAACACACGCGGTCAACTACTACTCACCAGCTTATCTCGGAGAGTCTTGAGAGCCTGTCCTAAATCTCGACGACGTTTACGCATGCCAAAGTGCCTGTCAATGAGAAATCAGTTCGGGGAAGGCGAACTAAATGGATCTCGAACGTTTACTTTTTCTCCGCATCCACGATCGGCTCTAAAGCCCTTATTTCCTCTTGCATGGGTCCTAGCGCCTCCCAGCCCATAGTGTAACTGCATCAACCATAAAAGAGTTGCCCGAGGAGTGGTACGGTCACTTCTTAGATGATTCATTGACGAATCTGCCTTCTGTTGTGGCGTCCTTAGTCAACTTCACCAGCTCTCTGAAAATGTACAGTCCGCAGTTGACCCTTTTTCTCTCATGCTGCTGGTCGTCGATGTTTCGTATCGTTCCATTGAAGATATCCACACAGTCCTTCCTCCTGACATGAAATACATATTCGAAATATACACCGAGTGTTGAAATGCATGTTCGCTTTCCTCAGCTGAACTCGCAAGTTTTCCCATCACATTGTGAAAAATTGCGCACGAATTAGGGTAGCAATAGATAAAAACCAACGAGAATTTGCAAAATATCCTCTAAAATCTCATATCATCACCAACAGCCATAGCTGACCATATGCATATTCCCTCACACTGCCCCCTTACGAAAACGGCTTCATTTTCGAGTCCATAATCTTCTCATGCGTGAACTTCCCCAGCCCAAAGAGGCCGCCCGCGACCACCGGCAGCGCCGCAGATATCACAGGGCCGATCAACAGTGGGAGTAGCTTATGCCGCTCTACAAGCGACGTAGCATTGTCCCCCTTCAGTGAATCCAATATCCTGACAAGCGTACCACTCCTTAGTCAAAACACGGACAAGATGCGATGCTGCTCACTCGAATGCATGCTTTAACCTGGGATGAACAGGAAGCCTCTTTCCTGCTCTAGACGCATGATCGCTGATTTCTCCAGAGTTTCCCGAACCCGGTCCCGTAGGTTCTCCTCGATGAAATATTTTTATTGTCCCCTTAGAACTGCTGTGAACTTGTGTGGAGTCAGGCGGCTTGCTCTTCGCTTTCCACCTTTGCAAGGCTTGGTAGTCGCCCGTGAGCCCCGATGTTATCCCCATGAACAGTAACAGGCAGACCAGACGGGGCATAGGCGCGGGCATAAACATACAAACACACGCCGATCAAAAGTACTGGCTGAAGAGGAAGATGGTAAGTTGAGGAAAGGGCTCCAACACCACACACAAAATCCAAGCGAACTGTTGAGTGTACATCGGCGAGTTTTCACTCGTAGAGTGTCAATACACATCTCGCAGGTCCCGGGTGGATATACTACATAGTTGTCGGAATTAATACATGGTCTGCAGCATCGCGATGATGGAATCCTAGATGAATAACTTTATCCCATCGAGAGTCTTCAACTAGCAGTTCCTCTATCTTTCCAATGCATCGGTCCGAGGACTTCCTCGGCGTTCACAAGCTACCTTCAGGAGTACCAATAAAGCCCTTGTAACCATTAAGTTGGGCACTGGCATTCCCATCTTGGGGTTTCCCAAGCTGGCCGTTTAGGTGGTAGTCACTTATGAAGCCAGCAAGCACAGTAGGTTCTATCAGGGAGGATTTGTAGAGTGGATGAGTGCTACCCTATACCGACCATCTATATTATGGATTCCATAATGCATATCAACAAATTACTACCACTATGGCTTCCCCATGATATTACCTTCCCGCCCACCCGTTTAAGAGTCCATCAAGAGCTGACAACAGGAAGAGTAAAAACAGCAACCTGAATATTGTAGGCTGGCACTGTAGAGCATCTCAAAAGACGAATTAACGACATTACCGCTTGCCCTACGACGACTCTGCTAAGCATGAGGCTCAACACAGTGAATTAACTTGCATCCGCAATCTACTCTATGGCCACCTAAGCGATGAATAATGTTTTATAAAAACACAGGTACAAGCCCCAGTGACCCCCGTTGCTCCAATACTAAACAGATTAAAGTGCTCAGGAAGTCCAATAATTCACATTCCAGCTGGAATCGTCACGTTGCGATATCCTCATTTTGGTGCGGTCGCCACCGAAGTTACGCAGAAGAAAAATTGAGGAAATCCAAAAGAGCTCAAGATTGCAAGTTGATATTCGCCCAAAACGACCGCTTCGACACTTTCCCGTCTACTCCAACTTCCACGGCCATGCAGGTTCAACCCTTCTCCGCTACCAATAGACGCCGAGTTTACATCGTTGAATCTCCTCGCACCTCAAGGGATTCCAGTAGGCCACCACTGCCCTTCCTGCCGTTACGTGGTTCTTCAGACGAGAGCGGTAACGGTACATCCGTCTCGCCCGACCCGATTCCGACCCCTCAAGGTAAGTCTAGGCAGTGCCGGGGAAGCTTCCGGTGGCCAACTGAAGGGCTCCGTCCCCCGAGTTCAAACTGTCGGAAAAGCGTCTTTTCCGAGAGTTTGGACGAAAATGACGCATCAGAGTGTTCGAAAAACTTCCTCTGAAGTCTCAGCTTTTTCCCGAGTTCGGAGATCCAATTCCACGAGGCTTTTTCTGAATTCACTCTGAAGTGTCACACTTGCCGATCTCGAGCTCATACAATTGCTCAGCATCTTACTCCGGGTAGGACAATTCGAGCTAAGTATTCGGCAAAGGAGTTCGGAGCAAGATTGGAATTTCCAAGACTTGAAAGTATGCTCGAACTCTGAACTCGGTATCAGGTACGAGTCCTAGGCGCTTATCTGAGACCTCGGGTTCACTCTCCTCGGCCGAATCGTTGGAGACTGTTCCCCTCCCACAGAGTAAGTCCCGCGGTCGCCCTCTCACTGCAGTGTTTGTCCGGTAAGGCGTCCCTGAACCCATCCAAATTAAGGTCAAACGAGCATCTACCCAGCTCTCTGAGGGGACTGAAAGTGGGCGATCACTCACCCTTGAGATCATCCAAGCTCATCCCTCTAGGTCCGGTTCCCGCTTCCCGCAGAGCATCTGATCCTGGCCGCTCTTCCATCGTGTCGACCATGGCATCGGCTCAAGAGATCACGAGCCTGGCTATCCCCGATAACGTGAGTGCGGCCTTGCTGTTACCTATCTGACTGTTCCTGTATAATCTCCAGGCTGCTCTTGACCCTCCCTCTGATATCGAGGACGCCAGGGTTATCCAACGCCCACGTTCGTCCTCTGTCGCTGACCGTATCGAAGCCGTCATGCGCGAGAGTCCAACCCGCTTCGTTGACGGGACCAAGTCTCCCACCTTATGGTTGCTGGCCGTCCTCTGTGTTCCCCTCCTAGCAGTGGTGCCCTTCTGGCTCCCCTTCTTGCCCCGCCCGAACGAGACGTCCGATAGTTCTATGGTCTGGCATTTCTTCACGTTCTTTGTGATGGACTTTGCCGGCTGCGCTATGTACCCCTTCGTGCCCGGCGCTCTACTCACCATACCACTCTTCCGCAATAAATGGGGGCAGTATCCCATGATCCCTTATCTAAGTGCTGGAATCGTCATTATCGGCGGTGTTATCCCATACCTCATCTTCCGCGTCTTCCCCGTGCCCATGCTGGCTGTGATCCAGGCAGCAGCTATAATACCTCTGGTTCTCATTTACTACTATTTCTTCATGAATCCGGATGTACTTCAAGACCCAGTCCACCGCTGGGACTTCCTCGTCTCAGTTGGGATCCTAGGTGGAGTTACGGTGGTCTACGGTATCTGCTACCCTCTCGGTGGCGCACTGTTCAGTCAGTTTACAGGTGTCTCTCAAGCTTTCATGGCCATCGGCTTCTGCATGGTTCGATTCGCCTATGAAAAAGCAGGAGCTCGCCTTCTCTCGACACGAGCCCAAGATGGCTATCCACTGTTCATTTTCTCCTCGTGCTACTGTCACGAGACATTCATAGCCATTCTCATGAACAGGGTGTCGGAATGGTACGTTTTTGGAATTTTCATAGTATACGACCTTGCCGAGAACATCTACCACGTTATCGGGCTTCGCAACTTTGCGCGCAGTCCCGGAAGCGAAGCTAGATGTCGCTCCGTGATTACTATTGCTCTACTGATGTCGTTCGCTGAGACGATTGCACCCCTTCAGTACACCATAACCTCATTGGGAATCTACTACTTCAATAAGTCCGCCAATGACAACTTCGCCTTAATCGATGAGGAGGCATTCTGGCAAGGCATCTGGTTCAATCTCGGGGATGTGTTCAGTGAGCTCTGTGTTTTCCTCTACTTGACGACGGTAGTCAAAGCGGTCACCGGCCTGGACTCGCTTAATGCCCTTGGCCGCTTATGTGTCATCTATGGTGTAGCCTTTTTGGCCTTCCAGATCACCATTCTGGGATACTTCCTGCAAATACAGTATGCAGCTGGTGGCAATGATCTCACGTTCCAGTTCGACTGGCTTAAACCTAATTCAAGATGGGTTGGAGGTCTCTGCTGGTCTGTCGCTGGGAGCTCTTGTTTTGCTTAAAGTAACCCTTGCTCGAGGAGAATAGTCGGTCGTTTTTAGTAATTGTAGTCTCGCCATTGCAGTGTTTTATGTGCTGTCTGCTTAAGCCTTCATTAGCATGCTCATGAATTTCAACATGCTCTTGGGTACTCCATGAATGAATGTATGGTGTCAAACCGCATGCCAGATTTTCGTTTAGTCAGGAGTAGATGCGCAGTGTGATCGCGACCTCTCGAGTCCAGGTCTGCGAGATGTCACTGAAGGATTAAACCACTAGTTCTAGAATGACGGGGATCGCCATCAATACGGATCGAATCCCCGTTGAGTCGAGCCATGGCAAACCCACTTGCAAAACGTCACGTGACTTTGCAAGATATCCAGGCCTCTCATGATTTCATGTGGGGTAAGGTCCAGACGCACGTTGAGATAAGCTGTCGATGGGATATCTATGCAACGGACAATTCGCGATGAAGGATAATCGACCAGTCACTAGAGGATGAAGCAACTGAGGGGGCAATTTTTCCATCATTGAACCACGGTCTGTCATTGAATGGTGATGGTGGCTGAGATGTCGAGTTGTTGAGATGAATCGAAGGTCCTTCGAGAAGATTAAAAAACTTGGTCTTATCGAAGTCCCTATCAAGATCTTTAAGGAAAGAACGATTCCACAAGATACACCAACAGAGGAGAGTCCCTTGAGAGCGATCCTATCCCACCTGGGGATCTCAGCGCACTGCAGAATGTGAATTAAAGGTCGGAGTATGGCAACCTCACTGCTGTAGAGCACGCCGCGGTGTGGATCAGCACATTTGTCTCACTAGGCCGGCCTTTTCGGAGTTCTGTATGATGACGAAGTTCATGAGCTTCCGCCTCCCCGAAGTTACGCATTGTGATGTGAGATATCCTCCTCACCCACAGGCCGGGACTTCTACCGCTACATGCGTGCTCGACGCAGGCCTCGATCTTGCTCACAAGCAAATTACAAATAGTAGGTGCAAAATTGGCAGAGATAGAATCAGTTGCTCGTACCATCAAACGACAACGTTCGGGTCAGTGGCTGCAGTATCGCCGCCGGTTAATGTACACACAGTGTATGTGCATATTAACCTGTTGTATGACGACTACTCAGTGCTGCAGCACTTCCGCATTATGCTAGCAGTCTTCAAGTCCAAAAAAGGTGTAGCATTCACAGCTTACTCTGCATCCACGGCGCGGATCCAGAGTAAGCAGCTTCCACACACATTCAACTCCTTCTCCAACGTCAATTAGTAGTACAGCGGTTGTAGTGTTGCTCGAGGTTGGCTGTTGGCAGCAGCCTGCTGCTGTGAAACAGCTCCCTGACGCTCTCGGCTAGTCGTATATTAGGTGTTTTGTGAAAAATTCACTGCCAAGTCCTGAGTGGTATACACTAGTGACTTGGCTTGACTCGTAAGCCACCGTGACGTACTACCGTAGTACTAATACGACTAGTCGAGGGCGCATGCACTACGAAAGGGAAAAATATTGATCATACCGTAGTTGGAGCAGAATCACTACACATGTGCAACCTATAACCCCATGGATTTTATCCGATAATCTGCTACCAACATTAAATTCTTTAATCTCTTCGGAAGCGCGAGTTTGTTGCGCTTTCCGAAGTACATCACTACCCAATCTGGTGCCACCTATACTAAGTTAAATGCGGCGAGCGCCATTTCCCCATTGCGTTGTGCAGTCGTTGAACTTGCTCCCTTACAGAGCCTACACTCATTTGGAGATTCCACGTTAGAACCGAAATCAAAATCTTGGAGTCCTATAGAGCCTTGTATTTCCTCAATGCTAATAAATCGGTGATGACTTCAAAACATACTTAAATCGCATTCATGCCTCGAGAGCGATCATTTGTCCTAGGAAGGGCCTCATCCTTGGATAGGCTTAGTCCGTCGACTCGTGGTTGCTTTCACGACGGGTTGAAGATTCCACAAACGCTTCCTGAAGTTTATAACATTTTACGTCTTGAAAAGCTTCATATGATGGATCCGGAAAGCGATAATGAGCGGAAAGAACCGGTCGGGCTCACAGGTACGAACAGTAGCTGGGGAGTATCTTCTGGTCGCTCGCGTAAGATACAAAATAGGTTCGATTGCGTCCGAATTCTCCAATCGCATTACTGGTATTTTAGATCGGCGGCGACGACCTCGTTCCGTATCACGGCAAACAGCTTCAACCGACGTTGCTTCGGACTCTGAGGCTTCCACAGGTTGTCCAAGTGTAGCTGATCGCGGTAATAACTACGTTAGAATCTCTATAATGCCAATGAGATATTATGTAGGAGGTTTCTGGCACCATACAATGCGGCGACATAGACTCGATGTTGTATTGGATCTTGATCGAACCATGGTGAATAGTTTCGAGATTAGGAAGGCAGGCCGGTCGGAGTCAGAAAATGTTACTCCCATTCTGCAAGAGATCTACCGGGACGAGTAGTGAGGCGTCTTTCTGCTTGATCATAGGCATTCTGGTTCAGAGAGGGACTACCCGAGTTGTACCTTTGCGTAATTAGCGATGTTAAAGTGTTGACTAAAATACGTCCGCACGCGAGAGCTTTCATCAGAGAGCTGGTAGTCGCTATGGTCTCAGAGGATTACATGAGAGTAAAGTCAGGTGGCGAGTACAGACTATGGTGTTGTGATATCGATATACACCAAAGGCAGTAGGCGGTATATGGAGGTAGTCAAACAGATGCTGGATCCATCTGGGGAGCTCATTAAAGTGAGGAAGGCGAACAGGGCCAAGTGTGGTTCATAGGGATTCCCCAGGGCCGTTTAGTGTCGAGAGACGATGAGCCGTCTAATATGACGCCTGTGGAAAAAGACCCTGATTTGGTAGTATTCTATGTGGGGGGCTGTGAGTAGTACAGTACCGTTGATTAGATAATTAATGCATCGATTGAATCTGGTGCGCAAGTCGATGGTAGTGATGGTAGACTGTGCAATGGAGATAAGGAGACGAAGGAGAGTGAAATGCGTAGATGGTTTGTGGTCCTGGACGATAGTCCTGAGGCCTGGCCAGAGGAGCTGAGAGAGGCGGGGAATGTCGTGACAGCTAATATGTAAGGGAGTTGGATAGTCGTTTTATATACCAAAATTTTCTCAAATCATATTATTCCGTTGAATGCGACATGTGGTGATATGATATGTGATTACATAGGTATGATTTCGCAGAGGTGAACCACCGTCAGTTGTTGGCCGCGGTAGCTGCTAGCAGTGTAGGTAGGACGACTAAGCTTGCAGCCCTTCCTAGAGATGGGGATGATTTCCTAGAATGGGTGGTGATGGGGGTGCTGTGATACTGTTATCAGTGACTAGTGCTTCCGTAGTGATAGCTTATCCCTACTGTACTAGGCCCAATACACCTAATAAATGTCGACGGACGTGTAGTTCTCACCGATGGAGTATTCTAGTCGGGGATGCATTTGTTGAACTCATGGGTGGTATTCGTTCCAAGTGCATTCATCTGTTGAGGATTTTCAGTTGAAAATGTATATGTATTTCTCATCACGAACTTGGAAAACCTCGTTGGTGGTAATTCTTTTACTTCAGGAAGCACCCGAGAAGATCTGGGATGTCGCTGATGAACTGTGTCGGGGGTACGGGTATATGCCGACCTGTCGAGGATCTGATGCTTGCTCTACGGACGGCTCTGAACCACCGTCACCCAGTGAGGCTACTGCTCTGCTCACCTACGTAAAGGTTGTACAGGTATGGCTGGAACTGAAGTGGAAGGCCTGGGGGGTAGTGCAGTTCGGCAACTTATGAGGAGGTCGTCACAGCGGGAGTAAAGGGGCTCTGTACAGTAGGATAGTAGTTGCTGTGTTTAGCCGAGGAGAAGCTGTGGTCGATAGTGAGAAGATTGGCGGCGATGGCAGTCGGAGACGACAAATGCCGCGGCGACGGACTGTAGAGATAGAATTCAACTTGGGGTGTCAACCTGTTCTGGTCAGGCTCCGCGAGTATCGGATTCTGTTCATACTCATGGAGTTAGTAAGACTAGTAATATTAACGGGTCGAGGATGGGAGTGTTGAATCATGAAAGTCGTGGAAGTGCGGTATTGGAATTGCCTATGAGGTAGAAATGGGTGTTTTTTGTGCGATGTGGAGGGTCTACTTCTTCCGGTGGAATGTCGTGGAGGTCCAACGGTCTCTTCGAGTGCAAACATGTCGTTAGTGTCTTTGGAGCGTCTATATGGCCGGTCGGTTAACTGCTGTGATAGTATCCAATGCATCGCTCCGCCCTGTGTGCGAGATTTTCCCGCATTGTTTAATAGATTCACACTGATTTTCGAAAGGATCGAGTGAAATTCAATTCCGGGAGCGCTCTTGAAGCTCAGGAGCAAGCCGGTTCATCTTTCCCCTCAGGTTCGTTGTATTCGTAGTAGCGTCCTTGCTTATAACACTACACGAGGTGCTCTATGCTCCCATCGATCTTCGACCGGTCGTCCCCATCTCTAATACAACAACAGCTTTCTCCCTGGACGAAGGCCTCACACAGGCTCCATCGGACGAGAAGTTCGCCTCCTCTGTTAATACTACTGAGGTTGTCTTAACTCAGCCTGTGAATGACGATATATATAACAGCACCGAGTTAACGGCAGGGTCTCACCTTCGGCAAGGTATGACTACTGCTAAGCCGTCTCGAGACGAGCCGTACTATCTAGTTTAGAGGCTCCTAGAAGGGCAGAGTGGAGTCTATTGCTGTTACCATTTCCAACTTCTTTTTCCGTCATGTCCGTGATTCATGTAAATCTGAAAATTTCATAATCTCCTTCAAAGCTATCATCGCTATCACTATGTTCCTCTATGTAGTATTGGAGTTTCTGACTCCGGCTCAGTGCGGGCCTATACAGCTGATCCCGGGAGGCCTGAAGGCCGGGTCGGACGACTGGTCATTTTGGAGCGCATTTTTGTAGGTCTTTGTCGTGATGAATCGATTGCAGAAAATGTGTATCGAAATTATTTATTTTCAACATGAGCTGGTACGTCGTGTAGGCGTTGTTGCTGTCACGGAGTCCCCCAGCAGGACTGGTCAGCACGTCTGGTCGTGGGGACTGCTTTCTTAAGAAAGATCAGTTGCTCGAGGGAATTCCAGTGTAGCTGCTTACGATGGTGTTGTGTTGAGTGTGGAAAAAGACAGGTGGCGGGGATTGAACCTGGGTCGTCTGTAAGAAGACTATTACCGTTCACTGAGTTCCCGCCGGGAGCTGCCCTTCGACTTATGCCTCCTAGAGAGGTGGGAAGGGACGAACACGAGGCTCTAGAGAAGGGAGAGGGCGTATTGGATATGCGCAATAATTCAGAGATTCTTTGAGAAGCAGTCGTGCAAAATGCAATTTTCGGCACAATTCACATCACGATTGTTTCGTTGTTTTCCTCGGCCGGAAGCGGTGGTCGCCTTAGCTTGTTGGGACCCCTCTTTACTTTGGTATGTCGAATAAGAAGCCGCAAGCACCAGAGGTTGACATGAGCCAAATGGCGCTGGCCAAGAGTTCGGGCGATCGCATTAACACTAGTGTTGTTGTTCACCCCATTGTACGGCAAGGGTTCAATCGACCTTAACTTATCAGTTCCATCACAGGTGCTCCTTTCTATTGTTGACCACTACAATAGAGCGGCTAAGGGAACAGCTCGGCGTGTTGTTGGTACACTGTTGGGCCAAATGCTGGTACGGGAAGCAGTGCTGGGGTTGGCGGGATAGTTCTTTTCAGGATGGCAAACTACATGTTACCAACAGTTTTGCATTGCCCTTTGAGGAGGACCTCAGAGACCCTCAAGTGTGGTTCGTTGATCATAACTACCATGAGAAGATGTATGCTATGTTCAAGAAAGTGAGTGGCAGTGTTGAGGGATATATGTTCGCTTTCCTCAGCAGAGTTCAGGAGCTTTCTCACTAATAACATACAAACTAGGGTAGAAATGTATAGAAATCAACAAGAAGTTCCCGCAATTTCCTCAGTATTTCGATATTATCACCAACACATGTAGTTGACCATTGCGCATATTTCCCCACACTGGTAAGCGGATCAATCAGTCATTGCTCCCATTGCCGTGTACCTGTGAGGCGCCTCTAGTGCTGTGATGAGCCATTGTGTGTAGGTCTCCCAGAAGGAGGTGGTAGTAGGATGGTATTCCAGCGGCCCTAGGATCAAACCCAGCGATCTTGCGATAAATGAGATCTTCCGACGGTACCAAATGCATCTACTACGCTGTACATATGTTTGGTTTCCTTACCTGAGCTTAGGAGTTCCATCGCTAATCATACAGGTTCACATACGAAGTCGGGTAGAATTGTATAGAAACCAATGAGCATTTCCCAAAATTTCCTCCGAATTTTCAGATATTGTGACCAATACACGTAGTTAACCATGTGCATATTTTCCCATTCTGACACTCTAATGGTTCGTAGACGACAAGGATGATGCATATTGATATGTTTCTTACGCTGAGAATTCGAAAATTTCCAGATTTGTGATCGTTGAATTAGCGAAGTTACATTATTATTTCGTTTTGGATTTTCGGAATGTAACACACTGTAGTGGTATTATCCCGTATCGAATTGGTTACGGTGAAATGTTCAGGTACTGTCCAGAACCTGTATTCCTCATTATGGATGTTACAGGAGGCAACAGTACGGCTAAGAAGGGAGACCTTGATCCGAGGGACTTCCCTATGCAGGCATACTACTCTGCTGAAGAGGTCGGCTTTCTACTTCGGTGGACAGGCAATTTTATTGAAATAGGAGTCAGTACGAGTCTTACTCAATTGTAGGAGATTTAGTTTCTCAAAAAGAATTCTACCAGATTCTCCCCGTGGTACAATAGGAGTCGTTGGTTATGCATAAGTCGTCTTCAGGCATCTGCCGATCCGCTCACTCGAAGGACTTTTATTCATCTCCCTTCTGTTGTTGGAGCCTTCGAGGCTGAGGAAGTTGGCGTTGAGCACTTGTTGCGGGACATCAGGTTAGTTGCTGATGGCAGAACTATAGCCGCCGACCATTGTCCTTATGCCAGGACGCAGAGTACGAGTACGCTGGCTACTCGAGTGGAGTCCAAGATGAACGCTCTGAAGTGAGTCGCTCTCCATGCAAAGGCCCATCTAGGTTTGAGAGATAACGTTCGCTAGGGTCTGATAACAATGGGGGAAATGATGTTTCTAATGTTGGAAACTGAGTGAATAATATGCTCCTAATCTTGTGGAAAACTCGAAATGAGGAACATTATATGCTCCTCGATGGTTCCGTGTCTCCATGTCGTCGATGTTGGTCTTTAGGACCCTCGTGGTGAAGATAAATGAGATTGCTCAATATCTGGGCCAAGTTGTTGATGGGAAGCTGCCTCCAAATGCCCAAATCATCTACAACCTTCAGGTGAAGCAGTCGTTGGTCACACATTCACGGCATCGGGTTTCACTCAGAATATATTCAATTACTTGCCCGGCGACAATCAGGAGGATATTGAACTGATGCGTTCCTTCAATGTGGAGACGAACGACAGCATGTTGTGCATCTACTTGGGTGAGTGGGGAAAATGATGGTTCCGTGACTTTGTGGATTTACTATGCTCATGGTGTATTCAGGTTCCATACTACGGGCTACAATCGCCTTGCATAACCTTATTAATAACAAGATCGCCAATAAGGCACGCGAGGCTGAAGCGGAGGCAAAGGCTGAGGCGAAGGCTGACAGGACTGCCGCTAAAGGTTAGTACGTGAGGGGCTTATTGACGACAAATTGATGTGTTGCAGACAATAAGAAGCCGGCGGCAACAGCAGCGTGAAGAAATACTGATTACATCACAGTTTCTACTTGTGGGTTATTGTGTTGCTAAGTCAATAGCAGATGATAAGTATGACTTGCATGGGGAGGAGGATTGCAAGTGGTACTAGGACAGCTCGAGCGTGGCTGCGGGCGAGCGCTTACTGCACGACCCCTGTGCTGGGAGCCACTGGAAAGCAGTGCCTAGCGGATTGTTAACTACATGGCATTGACAGCTGCCTTGAGGTTAAGCAAGGTTAGGCAGTGGTCGCATAGATGGTGACACGACCTGAGACACAGACGACCGAAGCCGCAAATATGACACGTCAAATGGCCAATTACACGATAAAGCATCTCAGTGCTCCGCAATGCAGTGATGCTTCCGAGTCCTTCGATGCTTCTACAGAGTGTCATTGCTTGAGCACATGCAAGTGAGGATGTGAACGGCTTGGGAGATTTGCCCACAATGAGAACATGTTCTGGTAGAAGGTCAATGGGCTTAGCCCATGTCCGGCAGGACTGGCGCTACGACATTCAAGGCATGCTCCACCGCATCGCACTAGTTATTTGGGAGTGTTGGGTGAGACTGAGCGTTATCTCTGTAGGTCTTTTCCAATCCTCACTCGAATGTGTACGCGCGATATCATCAACTGTTTTCTGATCATCCATAGACACGTCAATGGATGTGGGAAGAGCCAATGCAACTAGGGAGGCGAGAGTTGCAAGTCAACAGATTTGAATGCCCCCCTCGCCATATGACATGACATTTCCCATCCATCATTGCGTTCACTAGTAGAAAGATGATGCCCAGATTTCTGATCTTATAGGATCTTACTGGCCTATCAGAATTGTAGCACTATCGAACAGTAAGCAGAGTAAGCTCAGAAACTTTCATTTTGTCCTAGAGTTCGCCAACGGCCAACTGGTAGCTCTCCTAGCTGGACGTTGCCGACTCTCACACGATGTAAATACATGAACGGCACGCCGCATTGGGCTAACATGCGCTGCAACTGTCGTGACAATACTTGTGACCGAATACAAACTTTTATACGAAGTAACCTAAGTAAGATTCAGTCGGGCTAGTGTATAAATAGCGTCCTCACTTATCGTCGTTATCATTTATCCTGGCAGCCTCGCAACCCTCCACTTGTTTGCCATCAATGAGCATGCCTTGGCTCAGCATCGACATCTGATCGTCCGTGCAGGGAGCTTTCAAAGCGACTTCATACTCCATCGGGATAGAGCCTACCACCATAGTGACCAATATTGATAAGACGGTGCTCACTATAGCGATCACTAATTGCCTTGGCGATTCTCCCATCCTGAGTGTACACTAGAAGTCCACTGCAGTCAGAGTCAAGTCGCCCTGCTATAAGCTGAGAGATAGAGAACGACATAAGTGCATATATGGGATGCGCGTCTGCGAGCAGTGCTCACTCTCCCCAGCTGGGCTTAGACGTGTCCTTACTAATCATAGAGGTTTAGTAACGAATTGGCCTAGTACAGTAACCAACAAGAATTTCCCGAAATTTCCTCAGAATTTTCATCTTGTCATCGGCACATGTGCGTATTTCCCCCACACTGATTACGAGCTTCCGGAGTTGCCGAGGATCATGATTTGTCGGGCAGGCCTCCCAACGCTGAGCTGGAGTCAACAACCGACGAGTTGAAGGTTTGTGATACATCTCAGCTTGGCACGAAGCGTAATGCCTATGAGACTGTCATCTTCACTGCGCCACGAAATTATGAAAGCTACTCACAGTGGCTTATGCAGGATTATGGTCGCCTTGTTGGCCTGCACATCGAGTGCTCGCTTCGTCAACTCTACAGCTGCTCCTTCTGGCACCTATAAAACGTGCTAGTAGACCCGCGAGTGTAATTGAAAGACGTCATACCAATACGGAACCGTCAGTGACGATGATACCGTCAACCTTTACATGGCCGAGCTCGATGAATCTGAGTTGGCCGTACGCCTAAAGGACTGTCTGCGCAGTCCTACGATTTCGCCTCCCGTCGACTGCAAATACCCTCAATAGCTAGCAGTCGTGAGAGAGCAACTCCGTCGGCATTATTATGGGTCGTTAGCCGACTTACTGTGAATCTTCGGAAGCTCAGCCGCAGAAATGACATCAAAAACGGAGGGATGATGCACGATAATGTGCAGGGCGCCGAAGAAAAAAACCAACGTTTCCCGGGAGGAACTCTTGCGTGTGATCTTCACGTGTGGAAGGCTAACTCAAGGATCTTAACGATGGTGGTCGGATTGAAACGGTCCTCAGTAACGAGCAATACATGATTCAATTATCACGTTCGCCTGCTCTAAAGCTTCGACCGACTTCTTCTGTGTCTTCCTCCATCCCCGTGGCTGTGTGTTTTTGCGCTCATGCATGCACATGTGATATCACAGTTTCACACGTTCCTACACGATGGGCGAACGATATACTTGACACGGTGAGCACAGTGTAGGCAGTCCTGATATTCATACCGAGTTTTACCACTCATACACAAAAGACCGGAGTTGGGGTCTATCCCCGAGACGCTTAGTGGAGCAGTGTACTCTATACCCGAGTTTAATCAATGAATCAACTAAGTAGACAATATAACGGCGATTGAAAGATCATCAGTGTCGGTTCATTGGTGGACGATACGCAGCCGAGCTCTCGAACGATACTAGCGTTAGCAGGCGCCGGCCTTCTTAGTCCACTTCACAGACCTGGGATCGTTCCTGTGTTCGAAATGCAGCGCCAACCTGGCGGGCTGAAGTCCATCAGGACTGATCCTATGAATGAAAGTCAATTACAGCAGCTCCAATAAACTCGATGAATCTCGAACATGCCTCTTAGGAGAACGGTGCCCGTTTAGTACTGCTGCACAGTGCACCATCGATTCGCGCACGCCATGAACACATAGTGGTCTTCGGGGAGGGTACCAGAGCTAAATGTTCGCGCACTAAAAATCCCAATGTATTTCACTAGGTTTCAGTGGGCGCGCGCTAATTTGAATACGCATTTTCAACAGAAGAGTCGCGTATTCGAAATTTAAGCTCTGTCAAAGCAGCATTCTCTGCAGACCTGCTGCAATGTTGCACAGAGCAACATCATGAGTAGTACCCTCGCGTAAGGGGTGCATGGCTCCACCAAGGCACTCCAAGTTGGTGTACTCACAATTGTAGGCTCTCTCGATAGGGACTATGGCATTGTGTTGGTATGTGACGCGGTCGTTACTGCGGTTCCGTCCACACACGAGGTCTTCGGTGAGCTGATCCTGAATATCAGGGTCGATCGCGAAAAGTATCAGAATGGGATATGATCGCTGAACGCACTTCTAGGATCGGTCCCAGGACTGATCTCCTCAAGCTTTGCTGAAGTCCCTCCCCCCTACAGTTAAAACATCAAGTGCAACTCAGCTTGGTCTCCCAACAGTGTTACTATGACCCGTATAGCCGATCCAGATTACGACGGCGGAGGTCCTTCTTGCCAGGTCTCGATTAAAGATCTGTGTGCCATGATAAAAGCTAGGGATCTCGAAGGTGACCATCGAGTCATTTTGGGTCAATAACAATTATGAATCAGGGCATCATACTGAGGAGTCCGAGGAGGAAGGTGTAGACGGCTACACCATGCTAGAACTGCAGGGTGGGGCTTCTGGGTTGGCTCAGAAAGTAGGCTCTTCTTCCGAGTTGGCCAAATTACTGTGTTCAGATTGGTAGTGACCTAAGCAGTGGTGTGCAGAGTTGCCATGTGGAAGCTCTGAAGTCCAAGTAGGCCTAAGGGGAAGCCCATTTCCCGAAGATCGGTTGGGTAGGTACGGCGCGAACTATGTACCCCCACCAAAGCCCAAGACTTACCTACAATTCCTCTACGCGGCATTCAAGGACTTCACCATTATTATGCTTTGTGGTGCAGCTATCATTAGTCTGGTGTTGGCGGCAGCGTAGGCTGGTACCCAGGAATGCTAGCTAGAAGTGCTGGTGCAGATACGAACGAACCCCCACGTCTTATGCTGAGGGCTCAGCCATTATTGTAGCTATTATGGTAGTCACTAACGTGGCCGCGATCAACGACTGGCGGAAGCAGAGGCAATTCGATAAGCTCAACAGGAAAGTTGAAGTGAGCTTATCTCACTTTGCAGTTGGCTTGGATTTCCATATCAGGATGTTTCAATAAGGGTCATCCGGGATGGAATCAAACAAGAAGTCTCGATCAACGATATCGTGAGTGCTAGAAGGGTTCATGCCTTCAGGCGTTCACGGCTAGAAGGGTTCACGGCGTTTTCAGGTGGTGGGAGACGTGGTTATAGTAGGTGTTGGTGACATTATATGTGCTGACGGTGTAGTGATAGAAAGTTCAGCTCTGTATTGTGATGAGAGTTCTCTTACTGGCGAGCCCGTATTGGTCGCCAAGGGTGCAGATACTCATCCTTTCCTACTCTCTGGGACTAAGGTGGGACTACATCGCAACTCGGTGGTTGATCACCATACGGACAGGTTATGGATGGCTCTGGTATCTTCTTGGTAATAGCTGTTGGTGCCAATTCGGAATCTGGGAAAATAAAGGTGATTCGGATCCCCACTATAGTAACACTAATGTGGTGGCAGTCTCTCATCAATGGTGTTGGAGTCGCCAAATCGAAGGCGACACCAGAGGCAACTTCTGAGGAGCATCCGGGGGATGAGGACGAGCCTGGTATGTCGCAGCTTGTTTCGGTCGGTTCATGTTACCTCAGAAATTGTCACTGAGCACGAGGAGAAAAGTGTGCTCACGGCTAAGCTGGACCGAATGGCCTTACAGATCGGCAAGGCGGGTACTGTCGTTGCCGTACTATGCGTTATCATCATGGCCATACGGTGAGTTCACGTTGCCGTGCTCCGGTCGATGAGATTCGAGTCAGGTTTTCAATAACGAAATTTGCCATCACCGACCCCACAGAGATTTGTCTTACTATGGAGGATGTCACTTGCTCTTCACAAAGGGTGGTGGACATCGTGGGGAATAACGTATGCAATGCTGCCAATCCGAATCAGGAGTAGGTCCACAGGCCAACTAAGTGGTCGGTGTTGGGATGGTCGTCAGGTACCCTTGCTGCCTCCAACTGGAAGATGACGAGATTCAGTTGATTGGCTCACCGTGCGGATGGATGACGCCGTTTCTTGGCCAAATGCTGCAGTTTTTCATCACGGGTGAGTCGTAGTGGACAATACTGCTCAAAATATGCAATGGAGTTTCACACGTGATATGAAAGACACTAGTGAGAAACATATTCCACAAACCACTGCATGCCGCGAATATCGAGTCTTGCACCTTCACGTAAAACGGGTGAAACTCCAATATGCGAGCAATACATCAACCGTCATATATAATGTCATCGTATATAAAACCGGGGTGCGCGAGAAGCCATGAGGATATTCAGGTATAACCATCCTGGTGGTTGCCATCCCTGAAGGCCTGCCTCTGGCTGTGACTCTTTCTCTGGCATTTGCAGTCACCAAAATGCAAAAGGACAATAACCTGGTCAGTATAGGTGCATCGCTCCGCCGTTTTTGGTTGGAATTTTGGGCCATTCAGGTGAAGCATTTGGACGCTTGCGAGACTATGGGATCTGCTACTACGATCTGCAGTGACAAGACTGGTATGTACCATCCTGGTCGGCTCTGGGCACTACCGGAGGTCGTCATCAGGCACGCTGACTAAGAACCGCATGACAGTAGTAGAAGCCAATCTAGCTGGAATTGAGATATACCCTGCTCATGGTCGGCAACTCGACCAACTGCCAAATCCACGAGTGACCAAGTGCTGTCTTGGCCTCGCGGTCTAAGCTGGTTGTACAGGTCCAGGAGATCCTTATGGAGGGGATCGCCCTCAACACTACAGCTGATATCAAATGGGATCCATTGGCCCGAGCCTATGACCAGGTAGGGGTATTGTGAACTATGACATACCACAGTCCTTCTTAGGTTGGCAACAAGACCGAGTGTGCGCTACTGCAGTTAGTGGAGCAATTCGGGGACAGCTATGAGGATCGAAGGGCCAAGGCAATAGACTCCGGCATCAAGGCCAACAGCACTGGCCGGCAGAGGTATGCCGACGAGCTGCTGCGGTGGTTAGGAGGTACTGCTCGTATTTGTAGATTCCTGGTCCACGAGATTCCTTTCTCATCTGCGCGGAAGAGGTCCAGTGTGGTGGTCCGTACGAAGGATGGCAAGTATAGGATGTATATGAAGGGGGCGAGCGAGATTGTAAGACGAGTTGCGATTATTACGGTATGGTTTTTGGACAGATATTGGATCTCTGTGGCTCGTACGAACAGGCTGGGGGATCGCCCGGGCCTAAAATGCTGGACACTAGATCGCGACAAGTTATGTAGGTTACTTGGAAAATATCTTTCCCGCGGCATGTAGGCTTTTGATGGTTTTTTAATCAGAAACGCCATAATAGCGCAGTACGCTAGGAAAGCTCTGCGTACGGTGGGATTGGCGTATAAGACTTTCGATGCTGAGCCTTCGGGTGGTTGGGCCTTGCCTCAGGCCGGTGATGAAGATCGGTGTGAAATTGAATCAGTAGGCGCGAGCGGTATGGTCCTGGGGTACTGTGTATTCAGGATCTGGTCTTGTTGGGGGTAGTGGGTATCGAGGATCCACTGAGGGATGAGGTTCCTGATGCTATACAGGACTGCAATAGAGCTGGAGTTGATGTTAGAATGGTCACTGGAGACAACCTACTTACCGCGGTAATCTACTACACGAAGGGAAATTTGTGATGAGGGATTTGTTTTCTAGTACAGTTTGCATGGTCACCTTGGACGTTAACTAGCGACTGTTTTGGTAGCTTCTGAGTGATTTTTTATAGGTGGCAATAGCTCGTGGATGTGGTATTCTGCGTCCTGGTATCGACTTGGACAAAGACGGCGATCCTGTACCTGGTGTGGCCATGACCGGTCCTAAGTTCCGCAAGGCGGTAGTGACATCATGCACTATTGCACCATCAACGGTGTCAGGTCCTCCAAGAGGATGGCTGTAGTATTGATCATGAGGCATTCGACCAGGTGTGGCCCAGACTCAGGGTCTTGGCCCGCTCCAGTCCATCGGACAAGTACCGAATCTAATCATAGGTGGTCTCCTTCTGACATGCACATTGCAGGTATATACTGGTTTCTGGTCTTAACGAGAGCGAGCTGTACTCGACTGAGGCTGGCAAGAACCTTGGTATCTATCCGGACCGACAGGTTGTAGCGGTTACTGGTGATGGGACTAATGATGCACCCGCGCTACGAAGAGCTGATGTTGGCTTTGCTATGGGTAGAGCATGGTGACACAAGGGGTGACAGGGAGTCTTGGTATGTAGGTATTTCGGGGACGGCGGTAGCAAAGGATGCCGCGGATATAATTCTCATGGACGACAACTTTTCTAGTATTCTTAAGGCCTGCATGTGGGGACGTAATGTGTAAGTCCGGTGCTGGGGATCGAACCTGGGTCGTTTGTATGAGAGTGCCAACAGGTATGATTCCATATCTAAATTCTTACAATTCCAACTTACTGTGAATATCTCTGCCATCACAATGGCGTCCATCGGCGCCCTGGCTTATTCAGAATCCCCACTAAAAGCTGTCCAGGTAGGCAGTCCTCACCGTGGTGGTTGATCTATGAGATCACCTCCCACTTTAGATGCTCTGGGTGAACCTCATCATGGATGCTCTGGCCTCTCTCGCACTGGCCACCGAACCCCCTACAGCATCACTACTAGACCGACCGCCATACGGCCGTAACACTTCTCTCATTAGTGGATTCATGCTGTGGAATATGCTTGGACAGGCCGTGTACTGAGATGCTAGTTTGCTTATTGCTTTGAACTAGGTTTTCAGATACCAACTGGCAGTGTTGAACACTTTACTGTTCGCCGCGCCTAGTATGACGGACATGCAGAACGGCGCTGGGTAGTTGTTCGTGGTGGTGATGATGATATTTCGTTGGTGATAACTTTTAGGTTGGGCCACGGGGCGGCTCCTACCGAGCATTATACTATGATATTTAATACCTTCGTATTAATGCAATTGACCAACCAGTTCAATGCTAGGAAGCTGTATCATGAATTGAACCTCCTGGGTGGTATTACGCGAAGTCCCCTATTCATCGGTATTGTGTCTGTCGAACTCATCTTACAGGTATGCTCGCTGTGCACAGTCTCATCTTCACTGGACTTCTCCTGGTCAGATTTTAATAGTGCAGTTCGGCGGTGAATGGTTCAAGACGGAAGGTCTGAACTGGGCTGAATGGGGTACTTGCATCATACTGGGCTTTGGGTCCTTCCCCATGCAGTACCTCATCATACTGCTGGCCAGGGTGAGAGCGACGCTATTTTCTTCCGAGACTGTATGTTCTTTGTACCACGTTATTGTGTTCGACTTCGTTCCACGTAACATTTTCTATGGCAGGCCAGTCGACATTGCTGTGCCTGCATCAGTCCGGAGAAGCCTCGCCATCATACCAAAACTCAACCAAGTACGTTTAGAATTCTCATTAACGGAGTGAAAAGTTTCCTAACAGTTGCTGAGGGCGAGTGGGATGAGCTGGATTGGATAAGTGGGAAGAATGGCGGCTTAGACATGGACCACTTCAAGTCGTTGTCGCATCATGAGAGTGAGGCATTGTATCGTCCATATGCCGCTATGGGAAGTACTGTCAGGTCTGGCTTCGGTCATTTCTCGAAGCATCGTACAGTTCTCGTCCAAGTCTTTAGGAAGTGTTATTGGGGGAACACCGTCAGAGTCAGATCTCCAGCACACTACACGTGGAGGGTGAGCACTGGACTTTGTTTTTCTCATGACCGAGCTGTGGTAGACTCCGTAATAAAAAGAGAGTAGAAGCGACGCATATCATGGCTAAGGAGGTATCTACTATGGGAGCTCGAGATCGCGAAGAGTGAGTTCGTTGAGGGAATGTTTCGAGTCAATACTGTTTACCATTTTCAGGGAGTTCCTACACGCCGCAAAGGAGTATCATCACAATGTCCGCCAGAGACGAGGTGATGATGGCAATGGCTCGTCTTCCTCAAGTGGGAGGCCTATGGTCACCAAGCACTTCTCGAGTGGCTCTAGGGACATGGTGTAGCTTGGTAGATTTTGACCCGAGCGTAGAGTGAAATATCTGTAACTTTATTTTGTTGAATACGCATGTAATAATGATTATAATAGTCGATTCCGGTTCTAGCGAGAAACTCGCGCGTGAAGTCGGACAATATTGATTTCTCTGGGTAGTCTTCGGAGCTTATTATTGTTATTATTATATTTGGTCGAATTCATGTCGTCAGCGCTTTTGCCGCGCCGATCGGTGATGGGCATTTTGTACTACGGGTCTATCGCCGAATTTCTAATTGTTTTCGTATCGGATATGAGGACTTACTTAACGTGTTGAGGCATAGTTTTTTGTACGACCTTCAAGGCTAGCTTTGCCTCATGCAATCAAAGTGTTGTGTAGTATAATGTCAATGAGCTTCTAGTGCGGGAATAGAGCATGGGCTCTCCTGGGACTACTGCGTGGTTATTCCGTCGAGGTCGAAAGGAATCGTATATAGTGTTATTACATCATGTCCTCCGGCGACTGGGCGGCGCCTGGGCGAACATTCGACCATCAGCGTCCCCACCAATATGCAGCACAAAGGGGTCGATATGATGGACACGTGCCGCAGCAGGAGCACTGGAGGATGCCTATGGTATTAACCCTACGAGATGCTGGGGCACGGGGTGTCCGATTAGGTCCATTATAATGGTGGCATGATAGACGTACACACCTGGTGGACGGTGGCCACCCAACAACAACAACCTCAAGTCTTGGGCTACTGTCGTCAGCTTTATCATGGGTTCCCTGCTCTCCCACCACCATCAGGGCACTGGACCGGGACTTGGGTCAGGGGACCATCGCACCCACCTAATACTGTAACGGAGCCTTGTATACATGGCCAGAGGATGGAGGCTGATGATCATCTACACGGGCGGCGGGGGCAGCAAGGGTGGCATTCACAGGCAGGGGCGCGGGAGGCTGGGAGGCAGCCAATTGACCAACCATCATCATCTCCTCCGCGGCCACCTCCCAGTAGGGCGCAGATGGTCAATAATGGTCATGCAAGGACTCCACGTGGTGAGTATGGAAACTCACATTTGTAAAACGCTTCGTATTGCCTCGAGCGGTGCCTTTGGAGTTAGCGATTTGATTCTGGTCCTACTCAGACGATATGCGGCGTTCAGAATCCCCTGGAAGGTGTATTCGGACGCCTAAGTCCTGCCCGGTTGCAAGAGTTGATCCCGCGGAAAGCAGCGGTCGACTTGACCGGCATCATCATCATGCTACGTGCTGGACGGTGGGTAAGCCTCATAGGTCGGGAATTGATGATGATAGCGAAACGCTTACTAATTCAATGCATAAAAGGCGACGAGTCTCTCGAACGGAATACCTTCGGTTGCCCATCTTTTCCGAGGATGAGCGTGACAATACCGATAAGGTTGGCGGAGAGAATCAAGGGATCCCCAAGGGGAAGTCCTTCATCGAGTTGTTACTGGAGGATCGGCGGAAGTCTACTTCATCACTTCCGACACCTGAGCGGAGCGCAGGAGGAGAGACGGACGGAAGGACGAAGAAATCGGCCGCCCGTACCCCAGCGCCTACCAGAAGGCTATCTGTCATCGAGGAGGGGATGGAAACTCCGCGGCCGGCGCTGAGGACGCAGGTATCACCGCCGCAGACCGATCCCCGGTCCTGGTATGAGGGTGAGGAGACGCCATCATCATCACCATCGTTGCCGCGGATCAATCCAGCGGACTATGGCTGCGGTGTGCCAGAAGATGATGGAGGATTTACTACTGATGTTGAACGTGATCTGGCCGATGAGGAGGATATTGGTAGTATTAGCGATGATGATGATGAGGAATCGGATAGCAGCGAGTTCTGCAGTGATGAATCCAGGTGAACTTACTAGTTTTTGAAGTCGGATCAGTGCGGTCCTTGTGTAGTTCTTCTGACCATGAAATTATTCAGCGGGGTGACGAGATGGTCCGAAGAAAGCGTCGGAAGGAGTGTGCGAAGGGTTTGGAGTTTGTCGATTGGAGGGCAGAATTCAACACTGGTCTCTTTGCTACCACCAACGAGCCAACTCTGCGGTTCAAGAAAGTGGTGACACGGAGATTCGGAGCGAAGCTTCGAGGGCACCCGATGTTTCGAGAGGAGGTCCAACAACAGCAGCAAGAAGCAAATGGAGATAAAATGCATGTCGCAGAATTCCAAATTTAGTTGCAGCGGCCGATGCCGCAATTGTTAATAAGTGAGCGAATTGTGTTGGCTAGTACTGCAGAGTTCGATGTTGTGAAGGAAAAGATGGAGTCATTATGATTGGGTCATTGATTATAATGTACATAACTTCTGCTGTTGTGTATGACGATTGGTGTATTGCTCGAATTTTATATATTTGTGCCATCTCATATATGCGTTGTCAACTACGGATCTAACACGGAAAACTTCCTCGCAAATACCGCCACTAAGCTAGTAAGCCGAACCTATCTAGAAATCTATTTGGTAGTAAGAGTCGCCATGCCAGCAGAAAATACTATCCAGTAATATATCGAGGACAGGCCTAGAGACCTATCACTTTTTCACGGCGCTCAGAAGCTCGTTCCGCCCCTGGCAGAATTAGCCCCTGACAGCGTTTCCGGTCGACGCTACCCTCCGAGTGGTGCGACCCGCATATTAGAATAGTCAACGGTGACATCAATCGTCTATAAAGTCTCTTTTCTACGCTTCGCCTACCCCTCCTTTGTCCCCCCTTCTCCCTAAGTCCTCTCCTTGTTAGATTATTTAACACGCATTCTTCAGATTGTATTAAAAGTGTTAAGGCATAAAATACAACGACGCGATCGACTCTTGTTGCTGTAGTACGCGATGGCGCACACCCTTGAGACGTGATGGCCCGGTGATTCCCTCAATGTGAGAGTCATCACTCAGTATAATGCCTGTGATACGAGTGGACGGACTATTCATTAGCTCAAACATATCCTCCTGAGGCCTTTCCACCATCGTGAATTGCGTCCACCCGCCAAAGAACGTAGTAAGTATCGAATCGTCCAGATTTACCATTGATCTGACCAGAGCTCGGTACAAATTTCCCTCTCCTGTTAACTGGCTTCAACTCAGCATTATATGAGGCACGGTCCATCAACACGATTTCTAGTAAGCGGTCGTACCACCTACTGTTAAAGAGACGCTGCTTGTAGATATACGCATACATACGATGAGTTGCGACCTTGCCATTGGTGACGCCCATAGACCTTCTGAGTCAACATAGCCAGAATGCCAGGGAGGTCCTTGAGGTATTCTATATCCGGGATGAAGAAAGAACACCTGCCGTGCCTACCTCTAGAGTAGCCCTACGAAACGAGCATTACTTGAGGCTCATTTAATAGACAAGTTTTATCATTTCGAACTATCTCAACCTGTGACTCGTTGGTCTCAACCCTATGGTCCTTGTGGTGGTCCCGAGCATCTATGACCCCAGCCAGTTGAGTTCGCCATATTAAGACCATCTGAACACCCGCGTCGCCTCTGTGCTTTGAATGAGCTGTGCCTTTAGTATCTCCAGCGCCTTCCGCTAGTTCCTCCAACTGCTCCATACGAGCCATCCAGATCTCGGGAGAAATTGGCGCCAAACCGGCGACTTTCCACTTAGTGTTGTAAACGTGGAAATCTTTCCAAGTACTTTGTCAGTCACTTTACGGTCCCCTTTGAGTTGCCAGATTTATAATGGTTCCGTTGTTGAGCATTGTTGGTGAACTCCAGACAGCAGGCGTTACAGCGGAACTCATTCGTGAGCTCAGATGGACCCACCGTCGAAGCACCCGTAGCGGCCATTGTCTACGTGGCCTTAACGGTAACAATCGGATAAGTCAAGAAGAATCGCGATGATACATGCATGCGACTAACATGCAGTATGAGAGTCACATGAAAGTTGAGTATTGGAGTAATAACGTGCAGACAGAAATTGTCGGTTAATCGATCAGTCCTCAAAGCATGTTCTCCCAGTAACTGTACAGAGGTATTACCCGCTAGTACTACTGCACAAAAGTTGCTAATTTGAATCGACAGGGATCGCGTCACTAGTGCGCGCAATTTGTGAGGAGAAACCCGAGCTTATCTTGAAGTGAAAGCACAGGATAATATCGGGTCCTGCCAAATAGACAGTTGGCAGCTCTGAAAATCTTTCAACTTTACTCGCTCGCTGGTTTACCCTGAACACTCTACCATACTATTGTCGAATGTCTGTTGTCCAATAACCTCCATTCATTTAGTTAGTTGGGAGTAGTGGGTAGTGGGGCGAAAGCATGATACGTTGCTACAGAACTAGTGAGATCCGAAAGTCTCAACCTCGAAGTTCTGTCGAAAAATTCTCCGAAACTTGCAACGCTGGATGCTTCGCTCCGCATAAGTAGCAGCGAGGTTATGGGATACTCTCATCTGCCACAGAGAGTCAATTCGGTGCTCTCTGGGCCAGAGCCTCTGGCTTATGACCCTCGCTTGACTACTCATGCCCAGGGTTGTCCAAATCGGGAAAGAATTGGGTCAAATTCTTTCCTCGAAATTTCCGTTGAAATTTCCTGAAATTTCCGGAAATTTGGCACAATTGTTGTGCCTGTTACTGGGCAACACAACTAGTAGCCAGACTTCAGTGGATAGCGTAGTCGAACTTCACAACAAGGGCAGACCTTCGTGGAAGGGCAGCCGAGTGAGAAGGATCAAAAAGGGGTTGTAACTCTACTTATCCTAAGTTCATGATCACACAGTGCGCATACGTGCATAGCGCGATCGATGGCGAGCGAATATAAGTGATCAGACGATAACGATTACAAGGGCGAGCGCGTAGGGCGCGATCCCTACACTCCCCCCCTCTTAGTCTGGATCACGCTAAGAGGATAAGAGATAATTATAGCAGTCAATAGTCAGAGCAGATAAAAGGGTAGCAATAAAAAGAGACTCAACCAATCCAGCAAGTCTATCATCTCCATCCGCGAACCAAACCAACCAACTAACCAACCGGCCGACCGACCATTTCACCGTAAGGGCTTATACTCTCGAGCTAGTTCTAGTGGGTTACGATTACCTTCGTAGAGACGTAGGTTCCGATCATGGGCAACACGAAAGGAGCTGCCAAGGGCATTGTCGTAGCATGCTTGAGTAGGGTATTGGTCAAACCATTCGTCGTCATGAATCTCGAAGGGCTTAATCAGGGAGCGATCGAAACTCCATCCCAAGGGCATAGGGAATGTACCGTCTCATCGAGTAACAGTGCCACGACTCAGCATCATCGTGTACCTCAATAGAACAGCTTCAGCCGCAGTAATAGATGAAGGCCTTCTAAGGACACCAACACCTTGATCAGGGGACTCGACAACATGGCTAGTAAAAGCGGCGAGGGTCAGTATTTGGGTCCAAGTCGAAGTCGTCGATCCAACCGAGGTCTTTGAGAGCACCGGTAGCCTCACGCACCTTGTGGGGGTAAGAGACATGCATGTCGACATCGGCGTGGGGAATAATGCTGACCAATGGACAAGGGCGAGGCTCGAACACGCGGTAAGGGTCGTGGTGACGGTGGAACTCAAAGGAGTCGGCACTTCCGTCTAATGTGAGAAAAGGGGCTTCGACAGAGAATCCAAAGTAGTCAAAGGCTGGATGAGGGCCATGTAAATATTATTGTAAGGACTCATCGTCTTCTGGTTGACCGAGACCGTAGGAGTTGTCGGTGTCAATGGAAGCATCATCACCGTCATTATCGTAGTAGTTGTTAGTAGCCTCAATAGTAGTAAGGGCAGTCGAGTCGTCAACATGTGCCGAAACCATGGCGTCAGTCATGACAGCTTGATCACGCATACTACGCGGTGGCGCCGAAGTCGGGACATATGATGAAGACGAACCGCTAACGGCTTGTGGTCTAGTCGGTGGTCGGGGAGGTTGAGTAATGATAGGCGGAGGATACGACGGACGAGGGGGACGGGAGCCGTGGTGGGGATATCATTGGCATCTTCGGGATCGACCCGCAGGGCCTCTTCTCGCTGTAACAGAGCAATAAGTCAAAACGTCCGAGACAATATCGATTTTAGAGACAAGGGTCAAAAGGGACAATGTTACGGCCCTAACGTGACGTAAAAGGTAGACAATACACGTGTGCAAATGTATAGCGCGGCGCACAAAAAAAGGCAAAAATCTAATGACGTCTTCCTAATGGTACATATGTCTGAGGATCAAATCTCACTCTTGGGTTTCTCGTGCGGTGTCCACGTCCTAGAGGTCGACTAGCCGTTTCAGAAGGGGCGGCCGTCTCCATAACATCTGCCGTTGCAGGAGCCTCAGCCGTTTCTTCACAGGGTGGTGACGTAGGGGGCGATGGGACAGCTGACGAGGAACCTGGAGAAGGCGCCGATTGAAACTCGCTGTTGTCGGTGTTGTCGTCGGGTTGTAGGCATGAAGAGCTAGAAGGGGTCTGGGCTGGCGAGGTCTCAACGCGTCCGTCGAGATCGCCTGCACTTCCCTCTTCTGGTAGATGAGGTTCACCACTGCGTCCAGTAGAGACATCATCCGGGGTCGCCGTACTTATCGTTTCCGACAGGGGTTCTTGTCTTGAGTTTCGTGGTTGTGGTTGTGGGAAGTCGACTTCAATCCATAGTAAAGCATCAGGGTCAGGGGGTATCTCAGGGCCGGCCAGGGGGTCCATAGGATAACCATCTCCTGGACTCACATTGTCTGTAATGACATCGGGTAGTACAGGGGGTTCAGGACCAGGGGCGTTGTTGAGATCGGGGTCGGGCAAGGGTGATCCAGCACGAAGTAGTGGATCTTGTCGCATAATACCAAGGGCGTCAGGAACGGCGTCGGGCTGAAGGGGGTCGATAGCGACATAATCAGCTGACAGAACACGAACTTGAAGCGTATCTTGGTGCTTGAGCTTGAGAACCTTATTCTCTTGGCCAGGCATCTGACCAACCACAAACCAACCGGGGCTCCACTTAGGTTCAAGCTTATTTCCGGTTTGAGGGCCAAGACGTCGTACTAGTACACGTTGTCCAACATAGAATTGACGAGCAGTGGCCTTCTTGTCGTAGTAAGCTTGGGCTGCAGCAGAGGCGGAGGCGTGGGCGAGGTCAACAAGATCCTCAAGGTGGATCGAGAGGGCCTTGACGTACTCGTTATACCCGAATGGATCGAATGAGAACTGATCAAGGGCCTGCAACGATGGCAAAAAGACAGACTTCGGTTCACGACCGAACATTAGTGTGAAGGGGGCGAACCTAGTCGCTGAGTGAACAGAACTGTTGTAGTGCCACAATAAAGAAGGAAGATACATAGGCCATTGGTAAGAGTCGGTCACATGAGTACGGAGGAGGCCAATCAGTGATCGGTTAAAGCGCTCAACCAAGCCGTCACCCGAAGGGTGATACGGTGTGGTATGGCTTTTCTCAACTCCTAAACGCTCAAGGACAATCTTAAGGGCGTTCGACTCAAACGCAGGGCCTTGGTCACTATGCACACGACCAGGGGGCCCAAAGATGCTAAAAAGATCTAAAAGGGCTCTTACCACTTCGGTGGTATCCTCGGACTTCACCGGTATGGCCGTAGCCCACCGTGTGAAATAATCTTGGACAACCAATAGTGAACGAATATTATCGTCATTGGGGGGCACCTTCAAGTGGTCGATAGCAATTAAGTCCCAGGGTTTGCCGATAGGCATAACTCCTAAGGGGGCTCGAGGTACCGTTGCCTTGACCTGAGTACATCTAGGGCATGTCTTCTCGTGGTTGAGGAGATCTGTGCCCATCCCGGGCCAATAGGCATGCAACTTGAGCTTGTCGAGAGTCTTGCGTACGGCGAAGTGACCGTCTTCCTTGTGGTAGGCATCCACAACATCAGATCTCAAGGCAGGTGGTATCACTGGTAGGAACCGGGGCTCTCGTTCGTTATCGAACTTGCGACGGCGTATGAGTAGGCCATCTAGCACATCCAGTTGATTCCACAGCTGCTTATAAGGGCGGAAGGCGAGGTCGGTCAATTCGGTCCTACGTAAGGGCAACGGATCCGACAGACGTTCCTTTACCTTCCTTGTGACATCGTCACTATCCTGCTCTCGCCTTATATCGTCGATCGACCACCGTGCCGACAATGCCGTTATACAAGCGGCTAATTGTCGACGAGCGGCTACAACAGATACAAGAGCACGGGTAGTGTCAACGTCCTTGGCTGGCTTCGTCCTGAGAGGTTCTGACTCCATCGGCTCCATCGGTAGAGTATCGTCGTCGAGCTGGCGTATCCTGGAAAGAGCATCAGCGCACACATTTTTCTTACCTGGTACATATTTCACTATGAACGAATACGCCTGCATGGCCAAAAGCCATCGCTCCAGCTTCTTTGAGCCGGCCTTAGCTAGCCAAGTCAAGGGCTCGTGGTCTGTGTATACCGTAACCGTCAAGGGGTAGCCGATATGGTAGTGTTGGAAGTAAATCAGGGCTTGTAGGATACCGTATGCTTCCTTCTCGTATGTATGCCAATTGAGCTGGGAGCCCGTCAACGTCCTACTGAAAAATCCCAAGGGCCTTCCTTCTTGCATAAGGACAGCTCCAATGGCATAGTCGCTTGCATCAGTATAGAGCTCGAAGGGGGTACCGAAATCAGGGTAAGCTAGGAAGGGCAGGGCTGCGAGACGAAGTTTGAGGGCCCGGAAGGACTCCTCTTGCTCTTGTCCCCAGTAGGTATCCAAAGCCAAAGTTTCACTTCCGACCTCCGACACCAGCCGTTGAATTGGTCGTGCCACGTCCGAGAAGTTAGGGACGAAGTTACGGTAGTAGCCGGCGAGACCCAAAAAGGACCTTATGTCTGCAACATTACCAGGGCGAGGCCATCTCAAGATCGCCTCTACCTTAGTTGGATCTGGTCTCATACCGTTCCCGTCGAAAATGTGTCCTAAATAGGGCACAGAAGGGCAACCGAACTCGCACTTCTCGGCGGACAACGTCAAGCCCCACGCACGCAAGCGTGCGAAGACTTGTCTCAAATGGTCTTCGTGAGTCTCAGCATCGGGCGAGAACACGAGGATGTCGTCTAGATAGACCCGAACAAAGGGTAGTCCATTAAGTACTTGGTCCATCAGACGTT